AAACACTTTAGTTAATATAACTAGGAAACAAGGGGTCAATTCTACTAAATCGACTTTGACAATATTCACCAAGCTACATAACTGAATTGACTACGCTGACTAGATTTAAAGTTGCTATGGTTAATAGTCATTAATGCGAAGCAAATTTTTTTCAGTGTATACCTTTTGAAATATCTGCCATAAAAATTAAAAAAAAAACTGTTGCAATTTTGAAGTTCAATCAACAGAAGACAAGAATTTCTACAGAGTTAGATTTTTTTGGGTTTCAAGCATCTAAAATTTTTCAGCAACTTTAGTTAAAACGACAAAACTCCTTTTTTCCTAATTCTGTTTATATCAACCAGCCAGATTTTAAAGCCGAACCAAACGTTCTGTTATCGAAACAAAAGAATTTTTTCAATTACGGAAAATACTAATATATAAAGCAAAATTTCACAAACTGAAAATAGAATTTGGTCGTTGTGGCGAAGTGCCCGAAGGAAGCAGACGTATAATATTGGTCTAACATCTTCTTGGCTCTAGCAGCGCGGTGGGGTCAGTGAGATTCCTCTTTAGAAACCGCAAGTATAATCATGGCGAGAGTGCATCCCGAGAATAAATAAACGAGCAGTGAAATTCACTTTTCCGAAATCTCCTTTGGCACACATCAACTGCATAACAGAGATTTGGCATCAAGTGAGAGAGAATATTTTCACGATCATCTCTATATAATGCGAATCAACAAAACAAAAATTATTATTTTCTTCCCCGACCTTCATTTCCCGGATCCGTGTAATTAATATAATAATAACTAATTGCCTAGAGTCATCCTCAAAAAAAAAATAATAAAGAAAAAGAAAACACTACCTCTTCTGGTAATAACTACTCACTGTTTATTTAATCGACACGTGTCAAGATCATGAACGACAACGTAATCGTCTATCAAGAAGCCAAACGTGACGTTTTGATCCATTGGATTATTATCTATTATTACATATTCAAGCACTCGCACATAGTTTCCTATACAAAACTCAACGTTTTGAAACAAATATTTTTCCAAGAAACGAGAGAAACAAACCTTATTTTTACTGAATGCAAATTTATTCTTTTACCTATTTTTAATTCAGTCGCGAAATTTCAATTTTTTCTAACACAATTCTTATTTTAATTATGCAAAAAAAAGAACATTTTTTGTTCTAAAAAAATTATAAACCAAAGGAAAATTTAAAAAAAAAAAAATTTCAAAAACTCACCAATATGTTGAAACTTGTAATCTACTTTTGGAAACGTACCTGAAACAAAAAAATAAAACAATTATTATTATTTATTAACAAATTATAAAATAAATTTTTTTAGATAACATTTTTTTAAAATAATTTTCTGTAATAAAAAAAAAAATTATTTTCTAATCGTTTAAGATAAACGATGTAAACTTTATTAATTTCCCAAATAACATGGATAGAAATTTTAAAAACTAATCATTAAATAGTTATCAAATTTTAAGATGAAATTAATATATTCTATATTAAAACAGAAAAACATTTATCTTTATAAACATTAATATAAACAAGCGCCAATTATAATTGACTTATAATTTATTGAATTATCGGTTTCTATTATTGTGGTGATGATGATGATGATGATGATGATGAAAAAAAACCAGTTCTATATATTGATTTATAAGAGTTTCTTTGAAAATTACTGAGATATTTAAGAAAAATCTAACGTCATTAAATGATTATTACTTTTCAAACATTTGATTGGCTAATGAGTATTAATCATAAAGTCAATCACAAATAAGAAAAATATGTTTGAAAAACATAATATATATAATGCAATTTTTCCTACTATTTCAAAATTATACAAAATTTAATTATATATAGAATTTTCTAATTACATGTTATTTTAACAATTTAATATGCAAATGAGAATAATTTTTCACTATCGTTTAAAAAAAAAAAATTATAGTCATTTTAATCGAATTTTACATATATGTACAAGAATGTGTCATACTGTAGCAATCAGTATAAATATTTTTCAAGTTCCGTTTATTAATGAAAGTTGATATTAGTACTCTCTAAGAAACTATGAATTTAGAACCTATTTAAGTCATTAATTTTTAATTAATATTACAAGATGGTTAAAAAATTAACAAGATGGTAAAATTTTTTAAAAATACAAAAATAAAAAAATTACCGACCTAGAAATCTACCTTACCGACATGGGAATCTACCTTACCGACTGATGGTAAAAACAGATTTTTGAAAAATGAAAATATAAAAATCACCGACATAGAAAATTTCTTTACCATCAGTCGGTAAGGTAGATTACATGTCGGTAATTTTTTGTTTGTCAAAAAACTTGTTTTACCATCAGTCGGTAAGGTAGATTCCTATGTCGGTAATTTTTTATATTTTCATTTTTCAAAATTTTTTAACATCATTAAATAAATTTTGTCAAAAAGTATGAATAAAAATTTTGGTTATTTTAAGTTTGCTGAGAAATCTATTTAAAGAATTTGGCACGACAATTTCAATTAATAATATCTTTTCATTCCGAGTAGACAAATATAATATATATTTCTGTCGAACCACGTAAGGTTCAAGATATGTCCACCCACATCTCTCCATCTGGCACTTTGAAATACATATAAACTCCACACTTCTTTTTTTAACACTCTCTTTCATTTTATATACCTTTGTTCAACTCACAGGATCTCTTTTTCATTCATGTGCGGAGTAACTCTGACAGAGTCCTTCATTTAGATATACAAAAAAGAAAAAAAAACATACCTATATATCTATTCTATTCCAATCGACAAAATTTCATTCATATTATTTATATTTTTTTTTTAACTTACAAAAAATAAAAATCTTATTTTCCCTATATACATTATATAGAGTAAATAAATCATTCTTTTATTTAAAAAAAATAATTTTTACATCTATTTTTATTGCTATTTCGTCATATATTTTTATGTTGGAGAAATAACAAAATTATTTTTAAACTATTAACGCAAGTTTTATGGAAATAGTCGATTGACGTAAAAAAAAACACGTGCACGAGAAGATAAAAAATACTTCTAATTTATTAATTGTTTATTTATCTTGTATAACTTTTAATCATTTCAATTAATAAAAAATATATATATATATATAAAAAGCACTAGAACTCTAATTATCGAAGTTTGAGTGTGTGTCAATTTTTTATTGAGGTTCCAGTGTACTTTAATTTATCATATCTAAATTTATCAAATATAAAAGTAATTTAATTTAATTATTTAAATAAAAAGAAAAATGTAATTATATAAAACAAAAATTAACGTACATTGTATGGGTTAATATATAAAATTTTATATTTATAAAAGACATTCGTAAATATTTACTTAAGCAATGAATTTTTAATAATGAAACCGGTTTTTACAAGGGATTTTATCTTTATCTATTTTAATAGTTCAAGAATAAAAGTTATTCACAAAATTATAATTGGATATTGTGAATAGATTTAGTCTCTTTATATCGAATTATATATATATATATTTTACATATATTCGTCATAATCACGTGAAGTTTCCATAAAGTTCACGTGAATGAAAAATGTTTTTTTTCTTTATCACGAGCAACAGTGTATTATATTTTAAATAATATATATATCAAATAAAATTTAAACATAGTATATATTTGCATTATATGGGCTTTTGAAACAAAAAAAAAATTGAAAAATCATTTAACGTTATTGTTACAATATAGTAAATTTTTCCATTTCAATGCCTTCATCAAAAATGTTTTCTAAGATGGGTTTTATAAATTACTATTTATTAAAAAATAAATTAAATGAAACATAATGTATATCTTAAGTTTAATTAATAGTGACAAACTTTAAATCCTATTGGACGGTAACGATATAAATGTTCGAAATCCTGTTGCCACGTGTCTTTCTGAAACCCTTTTAGGGTCACGTTTCCGCATTATATATCAAATTCTCTATGAACACGTGCCTTTATAATGTCAATAAAAGATCAAAAAAAAAGAGATGTATATATGAATTTTTCCCTTACGACATTATAATATTGTGAAATTTTCAAATTAATAAATTCCTGCTTCATTATAGTTTCTTATATATTAAATATATTTTATATAATAGATATAAAATATAATTAATATAAGAAATTATAATGACGCCTTTAGTAAACAAAAAGTTTAAATTCAGAATTATAAACCATTAATATAAATTGTTAATTATTATTTATTTAATAATAAATAATTATTATTATTATTATTATTATGTAATAAATTAATATATTTTTATTACATAATTAAAATTAAAATTTCTTTTTATAATCAAACATCAGAATTATTCTCCTATTTTCTTGTCTTTAAACAATAAAATAAAATAATAATAATAATTTTTTGTAAATTTTATATTTGAGCCAATTTTTGAAATTTATTAACAGATATAATAATCTATAAATGAAACGAATTTAATAGGCCGTAAATTTTATCTTTTAACATTACACATAATAATAATTATTATAAATAAACAAAAGTTATTGAAGATTAAGAATTTATTTTAAAGATGATCTAATTTAAAATGGCTCATCATGAAGGCTAAAATCATAACTCCAGATTTATGACTTTATTTCCTAAATGAGAATTTGTTGAATTGATTTCAAAACTTTGCAACACATATTCTTTAATGTAAACCTCAAAGACACCAAACAATTAAATAGACGTAGTTAATTTTAACCTGCAGCTATTTTACTACTTTGTATTCATATTGCACAATGTTCTCGTTCTTTATACCGTATAAAATCGTTACTAGAAATCTAATTGAAATTATACTCTTAAATATCTTTTTAGTCTATATAGATTATTTTTAAAATTAAAGACAAGAAAATAATCAAAATAAATTCTATATTGTTTATTTTTTGAAAATTAATACGAAAAAAAAAATTTTTTTTTCCCCCCTTTCAGTTTTCTATTTACATTGTAATTAAATTACATATTTAACGAAATTATTACCTTTCGCTGTAGTGGTCGGTGGGTGATCACTGGACATCCTGGAACCTCGTTCCTCCACCACGCATTGCATTGACCACCCTATCGCACCCACACCCTTCCGTATACGTCACATGCGACCTCGAATCCTGCAAAACGCCATAAACATTTTAATATACAATTAAAACAATATTTAAACGAAAGAAAAAAAAAAAATTTTTTTTTTTCTTTTTTACAGAAACAAATTACATCCCCATTTATAACACATATCAATAACAATCATATACACGCGTTTCAAATCGAAGTTTTTATATTTCAAAAGAAAAAAAATTTTTTTTTTTCCTGTAAAAAAATATTTTTCAAACCACAAAGAAAAAAATGTAACAATAAAAGAACAAAATATTCTCGATTAATTAAAAATGCCTCAGTAAAATTTTCATTTATAAAACATAAATTTCAAAAAAAAAAAAATGTTTATTAAACAAAAACACGAATTCTATTTATATGTTCCTGTTATTTGAATTTATTTCAAAAAGAAAATGAAATATTTGACAATAGTTTGTCACATCTCGGAAGAAGTGCTAGTTAATTTAAAATATAGAAATGTGAAACACGTGTTGGAGCTTTCCGATGATGCACCAGGTTCTCATTTGGCATAAGATAAGAGGAAGTCCACAATTGTCACATGGATATATTTACCCCTCTCTCTCTCTCTTGAAAATAATGGACGAACAGAAAATTAACAAATCGCATAGAAATCATTATACGATTTATCCATATTGCAAAGTCATTCAATACCAGAAACAACTGATTTTTCACTGATAATAATTCTGATAATAAAATGCTATTTATTTAAAAATAGCTTTGAAAAAATATAAAAATGCGATATTACAAACAGATAATATAAAAAACAAAGATAACAATTTTTTTTTTCCCCCCATTTTTCAATAATTGTAATTTAAATTTTATGAATAAATAAATTATAAATTTTTATAAAATTTAAGATTTATTTTTTATTATAATGGAGAAATATTGACGTTAATCAGTCTGGACGCATATTATTATGAAAGTAAAGAATGCTAAAATTGGAACGACATCGGAACTAAGTTAATAATTATCGGTAGACATGAAGAGAGATCTATTATTAGAAACTGGCAGGTAAAGCCAATCATTTATTTCACCTCGTCACTGTTGCACACTAATAGCATCAACCAATAATGCAGGAAGTCGACCTCCAGATACCGTCGAATAGAATCTAATCAAACTGCTTGATTAGTCGCCATTCTATACGTCAAATCGACCAATAGACTTGGCAATTTTTAAATTAAGTCTATCCTATGAAGAGAGAGATAGAGAGGGGGGGGGGCTTATCAATTTTTTCTCAATCTAAAAATGAACACCCAAGAAAAAAATTTATTTTTCCCTTCCTAGATTTTGAAATATTTTTCACAATAAAAAAAAAAAGAATTATATTTATCCGTCAACTATATTGAGCACTTGAAACTTTGATTATAAACTGTCTTAGCAATAGTAAACAATCGTTTTAAGTTCATGTACAAAAAAAAAAACTATTTCCTGGTAAGACAATAATAATTAAGTTATTTTAAGCCTTAACTACAAGTAGATAAATTAAAAGCTTCGATTCACTTAATTTATTATAGTTTTAGTGACAAAAAAACAATAATCTTCATTAATTTTCAAGTAAATTGAAACAATAAATTTGTTTTAAAAAATTATACAATAGAAAAAAAATACAAATTAACTAACAATGTTATTAAAAACAATTTACTTGATGTATTTAGTTCTTTAAATTGTTCAATGTACACGGATTATTTGAATTTAATTTAAATCAATTTTAATTAAAACTTTGATTATCACAATATTATATTAAAAAGAAATCAAAATCACCTCCAATGGACCTAAAACCAAAGTAATATTCTTCAGAAAAACAATTGCACTAATGAAAATTCTTTATAAATTCAATTCCCTAAGTATACGTAATTAAGAAAACTTTTCTAAAAATATGTTTCCAAAAATAACATCAACTCAATAAAAACAAGACACTGAACATTAAATCATTGTTAATGTCATGCTCGATAAATTTATTCAAGCACTAGTGTGATTAATTTGTTTGAAAGCTTTGGATAAATAACTCGAATATTTTCATGAAAATTGGATAATAATTTTAGGTTAATAAATTGTAAAGGTGACAGACGGGACGCTCATGATATGGTATATATTGGAACCTGTCACACTTGAATTTGACCTACCTTTAGAAATTGCGACGAAGACCTTCTCCAGGAAGTGACTTCGTCTATTTTTAATTCGCGAACACGTGACAGAATTCACAATTTATAATTTTTCTACAAGATCATTTAAAAAAAAAAAAAAACAGCCACAAAACGAAGCACTAATTACCTGTTCTCGCATTTACAATCACGAAAACAATGCGACCGAACTGCTACCTTGACGCGATTTGATCAACTATAAAACACAAATGTATATAATTTTCATTCACGCATGCGTTTCTCTATGTTTTTTTTTTATTTTAATTTATCACTCACATTTACTAACAATCAAAATTAACAATAATAAAAACAAAATGACGAAAGAAATTTCAATTTTTTTTCACTTTCATCGCGAGAAAAATCATGAACTTTGACTACTTCCTAACCTAACCTAATCTGATTCACAGTTGCTGAATTGACTAATAAAAACTTTAAACAAAAAATGTTTTCCATTCTATTTAATAAATTTTCTACTCTCTTTTCGAAATTTTACAAAAATTGAATATAATTGGTACAATAAAGATTAATTAATAACTATAATTTCAATAAAAAAAGAGCAATAACTGCGCAGTTAAATATTACATTGAACACAGTAGTTCCACTAATCAGTAGTACCAACATGTAGAAAACAATTTACAAAACTTGTTTGAAAAACTGAAAAAACACACAATAATAAAAGATTATTATAATTTGTTTTAATTATTTTCTTCAATCACTAAACAAACAAATAAATATTATTTACTAAAAAATATTTTTAAATTAAATATGAATATATTTAATATAAAAAAATAAATTGAAGTAATTTAATCTCTTTTCTATTAATATTGGCTACCCTGAATTATATGTCATCAGTAAGAATTTGCAGTAATTTTCAGGGGGCTAGTTTTTCCCTTTATTCATTGAATTAAACGCAAATAAAAGTTTATAAAAACAGCGGAATTAATTTGTTTTTCAAGTGATACCATATTTGGAAATCATTTTCAATATGGTTAGTTATTATTAACGAAGTATCCTCTACTCTGTTGTAGATTCTTTGTTTAGATCCCTTGTAAAAATTGCATGTAAGTAGTGAATTACTTTTTTTTTTATTCCTTTCATATGTTTTGTAATTGTTACATTTCGTCAGCGTTTAAATAATCTAATTACTCTAATTTCACACGAACATAAATTTCTCGTTGATTGTGTCGTTCACATTTCACTATCATTTATTCCTTTCAATTTCTGTCAGTTTATTTTTTGAGGTTAGTTTTCTAATTTTCTTTATTAATTATTTTGAATGTTTTTATAATAAAAATAATAAGAAATTTCTGGAAAAAACGTTTCTTCCAGTATATTGTTTAGAACTTTGATTGTATTTTACTAACCTAATATTAATATCAAAATATTAAAATGGAGATCTAATAAAAGAAACAAATTTTTAAAAAAGATAATCAAATATTTTCAAATTTATCAATAGAAAATGTCTTGGTTCTTCGGAAAGAAAAAACATCAAAAGGATTCACCTCCAGATACTCCGGAGGAGGCAATACCTGTTGAGCAAGGAGATGATTTTATTTTTATTGAGAGACGTAATCCAGGTGGAAATATTGGGGAAAATGATGCAAGGGGAGGAAATAATTTATATCCTTCGATCAGTGGATTGCCATATTATCCGCCATTACAACAAAATAAAATTCAACAAAATCCTCAAGTTGATAATCAAAACAATTACATAAATGGTATACCATTTAAATATAGTAAAGATTTTGAGAGATCAATTTTAAATGACATGGATATTGATAGACTTCGAGTCAATGAAATTTTGTCCTATATCGAGAGAATACAAAATGAAGATACTGAATACAGTTTTCAAGTAGAAAAAAGTGTTATCGCAGAAATGGATTGTGCGAGTAACTGATATAAGTCGATAAATAATTTCAAAGAAAACGAAGACGAAAATCGAATTATTTGCACATTATTTACAATAACCATTGTCCTAGTAGTAACATTAATTATAGTATTGATAATTATAAATGAAAACGAATTTTCTTAACTGAAATTAACAATATTTTTGTTGCTCAAGTTTTAATAATTTCCTGTTATTTTTTTTTTTTTTTTTTTGTAACTATAACAATAACAACTTTTGACTGGTTTTTCTTAGTTTAATTTAAAAAATCTACTTATTTAAAATTAAGAGGTGAAAAATATTTTTACATTCACCATAAAATAAGACATGTTAAATTATCATGGCAAAAATATATTCATTTAATTAATAATTATAAATTAACTATAATTATTAATTTAAAAAAATAATTTTAGTCACGATAGTTTTTTTTTCTTTCGAAAGAAAAAAATAATTTTTAAGTTAATTAGTCAATTTTAATTTGTAATTCTGTTATCTGTATATACATAAATATTTTATATTTGAATATTTTAATGAACAAACAAATGTCAACTAGTTATTAAATAGAAAATACTTTTGTATAACGCGGAATATTCTTATGTTGTCTTAGGAGAGAATTTCATTGAATGTAATTATTAGAATTCGCCATATTTTATTATAGTATAAAAGCTTGTACTTCCGTTTTTTTTATTGAAATCCTCATCCTTAAATAGACATAAAATATTTTACTATAAAAAATTTGATTCCATTTAATAAAACTAATTAAACAGAATTAGTTCTTTAAAAAAAAAAAAATTATTAAAGAATTTAACACAGTGTTTTTATAAATAAATTGTATGTATTAAAATATTTACATAAAAGAAACACTCGCAAATATACAAATATTTATAGGTACTATCAAAAATTTACCTCAAATTAACAAATTATTGTATAGTTCCTAAGTGATAGTGAAAAATTGTTCTTTGATTTTTCTCTTCGCTTCTATTAAAAATTGACTATTTTTCAAAATAATTAATTATCATAATTAATTATTTCAATTATAATTAATATTAAGAATAAAAAAATTGTCAATAATTAATTTTTATGTCAAAAAGTAGATCAGGAGAATTATAGAGATGATGAGAGTAAAAGGTCCCCATGTTTGGACAAAATGACGGAAACTAAAACAAAAAGATGTGTTTAAAAAATTCATTTCATTTAAGAAATATTAATAAATTTGGGGTTTAATATCTTACCTAATGTATTTTCCATAAATAGTCATGAGAAAACCAATTTTTATCATATTCCAATGACTCGTGTTATTGTAATTCATTAATTTCAATGTCAAAGCAACATGAGAATAACAGTTGTCCCAGCATAAGTTGTGCTAAAAAATTGTAAAAAGCGAAATTAAATTTCCAATTAGAGCAAAAAAAAAAAAAACTGTTTTTTCTTTTTAGTATTTTACTTTACCATTCTTCCTCTATAAACTTGTGCTCCTTCAGCAATTGCTGAATCCCATCCTTGTACTCCTCCCTTTGCTTTTGCATAATTTAATTGCCAATATTTCGTTGGCCATCCAAATGCCATGGAATCTTCCGAGACACAATATGGACCCGCAAAATCAACAATTATTCCTGTTGATGTTGCTATTCCCATGTGTCCAATAAAGGGAAATAAATATCTGGAAAAAAATTATACCAAATTATTATTATTATGATTATTATTATTACAATTACAATGTAATAAAATAGAATTTTTTTTTGTTATATTTACTGAATAATAATAATTAATACATTTTGTTTTATTACTTACGTTAAAAGAGGAATCGGGGTCCATACCACACAAAAAGGAAATCTGTGTCTCACAGGATCAATAGCTGTAACCATTATCGATGAATTTTCCGAGATCTCTATAGAATCTTGCATTATTTTTCACTAAAATAAACAATTTTCTTCCAATAAGGAAAAAAAAAGACCGGTTATATTTCCTCTAAAATGACATATCATTTTTCATTGAAAACTACATTTTCATAAACTTTTTCAATTTATTTATTTTTAATATTTCAATTCTCACTGTAAAATTTATTTAAATAACTATAATCACTATAAAACACTGATCTTCTGTGATGTAAACAGACAATTGTCACAATGACTGTCGTCTGCTTGTTAAAAACCGTCTGCCATTTTGTTTGTAAATTTTCGCGGGAAATTAAAATTCCATTTAAAAATCCAATTTGTGATTAAATTAAAGAATTGCAAAATTTTAAAGAATGACAATAGTTGAAATGAAACAAAAAAAAGAATTTTTTTTCAACAGTTTGGCATTTTATTCATTAACTACAATATAGGTGAAAAATCGCATTAATTATATAAAAAGTGATTTAATTCCTTTACATTTAATGATCATACATATTTTAAAGATCAAATGAAAGAAATATTTTTCAAATATAATTATTTTTACAGCCGACATTAAAACATTAATTGCAACTTTTGTTACAATTTCATCTGGCCTAAAAATGGCACGTTAAATTAAAATGATAATAATATTGAAAATGAATATCATTGATAAATACAATTGATACAACACTTAAATTATTTAAACTAATTATTTAAAGAAATAACTAATAAGACAAACAATTAATAATATAATATTATATTATATATAATATTATAATATACATATTTTATAATATTGAATAAAAATATCCTGCTTAAAAGATTAAATCTTTTAAAAAGCAAAGAAAATGTTTTCATTTCAAAAATAATACCTAAAACAATCTAAGTACACATGCAAATTGACTGATTACTTGAATTCACAAGAGTAGAAAAATAATCCATGTTACATCAATAACCAGATAATAAATTTCTAATACAACATGAAGCTAACTTAATCATTAATTTAATGATTTAATGTTCAATGAAAGAAGCTATTTTTGTGTGAAGATTCTATCAAAATTATGTTTTGATAAAAACAAATATCCTGACTTACAGACAGTATAGCACCTTTTGTTTTTTATCTAAAAAATACATTTAAATCCTACAAAACTTTTTTAAAAAAAAACTATTTCACTTTACCAAATTTTGTTATGGTTGACAAATAAATATCTTGTTCATTTTCTTCGACAACAATTTTTTTTTTTTTTTTACGAGAATCGAGAAAGATATGTTCAATATAATCGATGTAATTAAAAAATATTTCATTCATTCAATCACCAACGTCCGAATCACCATCACCAATAGCATTGAGAATATGAAATGCAATACCGAGAAAAGCCGTTCCGATAAGATCGCCAGCAGCCGTTAGATATGGTATCGCTGAATTGTCAGGATCCATTCCTTTTGTCCACATCCAAATGACCATTAATTGAGCAATATATAACAATAATATAACCTGTAATGAAATTTAATTTAATTAAAATAATATCCATATAATTATTTAATTTCAAAAAAAGTGAATAACTAAAATAAATTATACCTGCAAAAATGCACATATCAAGTAAATAGTGAGAAATATCGGCGTAAATGACGTATGACCAGCTTGTAAATAACTGATAGTGTAGCTGAAGATTAAATGCCCTGGTATCACCATCATTAAAAGAACTCTTGCAGTTCTTGCATGTCCTCCTAATTGTAAAATAAAAACAATTTTTATCATTTTTTTTTTAATTTGCAAATTAATATGAATAAAAAATTAATTTACCTGAAGCAAAAAATACATGAAATGGACTGACACAAATTTTTGGTATCTCTCGAATTCCCATGCCTTGTTGTTTATGAAGATCAGTGGAAATTCTACTAGACTGGACGGCAACGAGATTTCCACCAACGCCATTAATAACCAATTGAAATACAGCGATACCTTTATAATTTGAAATCGTGTAATCTAAAATAAGTCCACCAAAACTACTGATTATCATTGCCAAAATCACAGGCGTCCAACTGTCATTCAAGACTTCTTTGGTGAATGGATTTTTTGCAGCAATATAACCCCATAATGGAGTTAAAAAAAGACAAATTACTACTAAAGTTGGCGCTATCCATGGCGCTGTATCTAAAAATTATAAAAACAAAAAATATTAATGAAAAATTATCGTCCACAATTTAATTCAATTTCATACACTGAAAAAAAAATTTATTTGATTCAAATACTCAATTACTTGACTATTATCAAATAAATATTTCTTTTTATTAAATAATTATTATTTAAGTCAATTAAATTGTATTTGTTTCAAATACAAAATTTATTGGTTCAAATACAATTTATTTAATTCAAATAAAAATTATTTTGTTCAACTAAATATTTATTTGATAATACTCAAGTAATCGAGTATTTGAATGAAATAAATTTTCTTTTTCAGTGTACCTATCGCATTATATAAAAGTGAAGCAATCCACGAGAGTAGTGCAAGTGTTGTTAAATCTCCCAAGGATGCTGCAATTGGAGTTGCCACATTGTCTGGATTAATGCTCATATGCCGCGAGAGAAGAATCACCGCCGACATAATGAGACCAAGAACAAAACTGGCAACCGAGGCAGTGACCAATGCACTTGCACAAAGAATAAGGCCATGATGAATGTCAAATTTTGCTTCGGGTACCCATCCTAATGCAACAGCAGCCAATGATGCCAGTAAACCAACAACCATCGCCTGACATTGTATTAATGCCAAATTACCAACAATTATCGTCCATTGTTGACTTTTTGTATCCATATGACCAAGATTTGCTTGCGTTGAAAGACGCGATGCTAATGTCATTTCTAAATTGCCTTTTAAACCTAACAAGGCAGGGACAAGTATATACACTTCCGATACATTCTGATAAACATCCCAATGCTGAAACAAAAAAAAAATATTTAATAATAGCAAAAAAATGGAATTTAAAAAAATTCGTTTTAAATAAAAATTACCTGCACAACATCAAGCAACAAACTTGCCGCAACCATTCCAAATCCAGCGAGTAAAAATGGTATAAACATTTGAATAGAAATTGACCAGACACTCTCATCCTTATCATTTTCATATAAATTAATCGGCGATTTATTCACTGAATTATTATGATTAAGGCCTTTGATATCGACTTTTGGTAAAGGAGTTGGTATCAATCTTTGTGTGTCCTCATCAATGCTTTCGCTTTCCGAGTCGATCTCCAATTCCATTTTAATGTCCTCCAAGTTCTGTTCAAGTGGTTCTCCACTTCCTGAACCAACCATTTTGTCCAGTAGAGGATTTCTTGCTTTTCTGTGACGTAGCCTGCTTTGTGAATCTCGTGCTTCTGCGTCTGCATGATTTAGGTCCTTGGAATGAATAGTTCCGTCACCAGAAAGCACTAAAATATACAGAAAAAAAAATTAGATAATATTCTATTTATGTGTAAAAAGAAAATTGTTTTCAAAAACAAATTCTCTAGCTATTAATACATCATTTTTTTTCCTGCCTTTTTGTTTTGTTAAAGATAACAATATTTCATTGTTTTTCTTACGATTCTCGGTTGCTTCATTCAAATACTTGTATTTCTAAATAATTATTGTAAATTTGCCGATTACAATACTGAAATTAAAAAAAAATGCAATGACTACGATTACAAATAAAAAAATTATTACTATTCTACTTAGAATTAAGTTACAGTTCACAGAATAAATTATTCAATGGAACCAAAACATTCATTTTAGACATTATCTGATAAAAGTTGTGTAATCAAGCAAACACACACCAATTGATACATTTATAGATCAACGATCCAAATTGAGACAATTTAATTTGAGATTTTCAACTTTTACATACAATTAAAATTAAATAATAAATAAATAAACATAATTTTTTAGCCATAAATATATAAAACAATAAAAAAAAATACAAATTTAATTTTCATATTGCAATAAGTTGCAAATGAAAATATAAATTAAAAAATAAATTTAAACAAATTATTTATATAACATGAGCAAACAATTTACTTACAAGTAAATTATACTTTTTGACGGAAACATCATTTAAAAAAAAAAATAATTCAACCAGTAAATTTTACCGGAATATTAATCACATAAACTCATGCAACAATGCATTTTAAGATAAGCACTATCTTTTACCTATCCAACTCAGATATTGAAAAAAAAATTCGATGTCTCTCTTTAAATAAAAAACCATTCGATTTACACCACCGAACAATAAATGATAATTTATTCACAAAGAATGTTTAGGTTCCATAATACAAATATTTATACGCATGCATGGAATAAAAAAAAAATGTCTGGCGTAAATAAAAAAAAAGGCGGTCAAATGACAATATAAAATATATGAAAATGTACATGACATTATTTAAATATTTTACCGGAATTAAAAACAATTTTTCAATCTTTAATAATCACGTTCTCATAACATTCATTTTTTTTAAATAATAAAATATTTTTTCAAAACACTTACTCGTAATGAAGAAATGACCAGATACTCGATTTTCCTGTCATTCATACACGTCCATTTAAAAATGATAAACTTATTTAATGATGATGAATCCGTGAACATGAATAATGTAACTTCACAAAAATTTACACTTTATTTGTGATGACAAAAAAAAATGTTGAGGTGATATTTTTTTGTAAAATACGCAAAAAAATATAACACCGACTTGAAAACATAACCTAAAATGAGGTTTTAAAAACAAACGTACCTCAATTTTGTGTTTACATGTTTTTCCATAACCAATTAACGCTCAGACATGTAAAATATTTTGGACAATGTTGTCAAAATGGGAAAATTTGTAAATTACGTATAATAATTAAATGTCACATTAAAGGAGTGCCGACTGTGTGCGCCACGAACGTCAAAAAAAAAACTTATAAACACACATACACATACGCAACATACACGTGAACACGTGGCAATTGGTGTAAATGCAACCATTCTTACACAAGTGTCAAAATATTTGCCGCTCGTTAAGGAGCGCGAAATTTTCTTCTTTTTTTTTTTTTAATTATATTCATTATCAGGTCTAGATCTTTGTCTATGTTTATATTTTACATACCTCGTTGATAAAATTAATAGATAAGATGATTGATTATTATAAAAATTACAATAAAGTATTAATTTCCAATTCTAATAAGACTAAAATAATCTTTATAGAAATCATTTTTTAAAAAACAGTTTAAATTTTAAATCATTAAATAAATGTTAACAAAATATTTAAAATTGTAAAAAAAAATTTAATTTTTTTAAATGTTGACTTAAAATAGGTTGCCTGTAACACATGGCGTTATTGTATTTCTGTTTCAATAGATGCATATTGAAACGATTGAAACTAAAATAGACAAAAGCTAAAATTATGATATAGGTACTAAAAATGTTTTTGAAAATTTTTCTTCTACTCTACAATAAGATAATTTTACTCTTTTCTAAAATATGTTTTAGAGAATTTTTTTTTTTTTTAAATACAATTTTACGGGGTTTTTATTGCAATTGAAAGGGGCGCATTAATTATATTAAAAAAAACAATAAAGTGTTAAGTGGAAAATTTTGAAATAACATTGCATTTAGTGTTTCTAAATTAAATGGGCATTGTGCCCATTCTCGCTTGGCGCATGTGATGTTGTCTTTGTCTTTTTTGAAGTTAAATGCAGTTCTACCTTTTGCTGAAGACAACGACCAGTCAAAGTCTCTTATATCTCATTAAATAATCTATTCGAACGAAATAAATTTTATTTTTAAATTTAAAAAAAAAAATAATTTAACAAATTTTTTATTAATTAATTAATTAAGAGTTTTCTTTTATATATCTGACATAAAATATATATATCAACTAACTAAATGAAAAATTGTGTAAATTAAATTAAAATTCAATAATAAATATAAATTAAGAGAAAAGTGGTTAATTTTACTCGCAAATTAATGGTTTTTTTTTTTTGCATTTAATCTTTGGTGAGTTGAATAATTTCATTTTTACATTTTATTAATCATATCAAGAACAATTAACTTTAAACAAATTAATTTTCTTTAAATCATTTTATAATTTTTTTTTTTTATTAATTTAAAAAAATTATATTAATTAAAAAAATTATATTAATTAAAAAAAATTAATCTTTTCAATTCGTAATTATTTTCTTAAATAATAATATAAAGTCCATGAATTTATGACATAATCTTATTACGTTACCAACACTAAAAATAATTTTATTTTTTAATTGTTTTCTATAATTTTTGGAATTTTATTTTTATTCCGAATTTTAATTACTTTAATTTAAAATTCTTTGTATTTTTATAGATTCCGAATTTTTTGACAATTTTAATTTGTCAAAATAATAAAAATGGGTGGCAAAAAGAATAAAATTAGAAAAAAATGTTTGAATCAACATCAAAATAATAATATTTCAAAAAAAAATTTTCCAAATAATTCCAACGAAAATATCAATTTATTAGATAAATCACCAATTGACATAATTTCAAGATTGAATTTTCCTTTTATTGAACCAAATGAAAATATTGAAGAAGAAGATTTTGAATTTAATTTTCGTCAACGTACAATTTTTGCTTGTAATCTTTGCTTAGTATGTATGGAATTATGTGACGGATTATCGACATGCAAAAATTGTCAAATGATCACGTATTGTTCAGTAAGTTATTTTTATATAAACGGAATTTCAATAAAAAAAAAAATTAAATAATTTAATTATGAAAACTTAATTATTCTTTTTTAGAATAAACACCTAGAGGAGAATTTAATAGAACATAAAAATTTATGTAAAATTCTCACAGATATTTGCAATAAAAATGAGGGTTTATCATTAGCAAAAGATCTTTCACCCGATGAATATCGAACATTTCGAGTTAAATTAATAGAAATAATTGAACAGGGTTTAAAAAGAAAATTAGATTTATGGGAAAAGGAAATTATTTTATATCCTCGACTATGTAGAAAATGTCACAGTGAAAAGAATTTAATATGTTGTCCCCAATGTAAAATGGATTTTTATTGCTCAAAAGATCATCAAAAAGATCATGAACAATGGTGCAATCAATTCAAATTATTTCAAAGAATTATTTTTCTACAAAAATATCATGGATCGGTTAATCCAAAACTTCCAAATCGAATCTACAAGGTATTTATAAATTTTTATTATCTGTTATTACTAATTTTTTGTATATTAAAAAAATTTTTTATTTACAGGAAGCTTTTTCGTTACCACAAAATCTCGATCATATACTATTAGAATTGTTTGACTCATCTGTATATTATAAAAAAATGGATTGTCATTCATATGCCAGCATTTCTCATATGGCAACAATTCCACTAACTACATTATTTGCAATTGAAAAAAGTTGTCAAAATTGGAAAATAAAAAAGAATATCACCATTCACGTGATAGGAGCAGAATTTCAATTTGAATGTTGGAATCTTCGAATTTGGGAGAAATTATTTCTTCACTATTTACCAAATTTAATTAATTTAACATTAATATTCACTGGGCCAGAATTAAAAGTACCTGATGTATTGTTAGAAATTTTAAAAAATGTCAAAACATGCAATTATTGTCGAATTTCTGGTAGACGTATAAATGTAATTTTTAATCAAGGTAAACTTTATCACGAGATTGAGAAAACAACAATTATTCAAAAACCAGACATTGTGTGTTTATTTAATCCGGGACTTTATCGAAAAACTGGATTTAATGGCAATGATACGTGGCCATTGACTATAAAAAAATTTTGTCAATTAAAATCACCTATTGTTATCACTGCTTATACAGAAAAGGAAATTCCTCAAGATATCGCGGCAATTAAATCAGTGTGTAATATTAATATTATTATGGAACCACAAAAAAATCCCTATGCAACATTAAAACCTGATAGAAATTTTGTTAGTGACGATACAGCACCGTTGATGTATAAAAATCATTTTATATCTATTATCAAAGGCATTGACTGAATTTTAATTATTTTTAGTTTTATAAAAAGCAGATGATATATGAGAGAATTATATATATATATATATATATATTATACAATTTTGATAATAAATTAATTAAAAATTGTAGAATCAATTGTCTTTATGTATAATCAAATTGTAGTACAATTATCAGATATGTTAGAACAATTCCAAAAATCTGTAAAGAAAATAAAAATGTACTTCTCCAAAAATGATATCTCAAACATTTTCCAAAAAAAAAACATTTTTACCTTATATAGATATTTATAGTTTAAATCAATTAATCCATATATTGAAATGTTCAATTGATTTTTAAGCAAGTAAAGAAGAACACTTTTCATCTGAAACTAAATTGTTCACTAAACGAAATTGAAACTATAATAAGGAATTCATCTTTAATAAAAATCTTACCATATACATACGATTTGATTTTGAATTAATCCATATTTTACAGAGAATAATACCAGTATTATTTGCCTATATAAAAAATTTTCATTGAAATTATTTTATAAAAAATAAAATATAGTTATTTCTCTCTCAAAAAACAGTGCGAATAATTTTAATAATAATTATTACCTCATTAGAAATATTTCCAGAAGCAGTTGAAATGAAGAAAAATTCCATAATATTACTAAACAATACAAGAAAATGCATTGACGATAAAATATGAATCAACGAATTCCATTCGACACTCGTTCTTATTATAAGAAAAAGAATATTAATTGATGAAACCATATTAATAAAATTCACAATCAATGATAATAATATTGGTACTGCAAATAAATCTTGAATATCTTCGATAATTGTTTTTAAATTATTGTGCAATTGTTTAGCAATTGCAATTTTATTTATTGTTAACGATGAAAATCTATATATATATATATATATATGTAATATTAAATTAAATTAATTTAATAATATTTATATATAATATATTATAGTCACCTATATTCAAAAATTTCACGATTTAACATTTCCTCTGTTGCACATTTCTTGAGAACAATATTTAAATGTAAAAATTTCTGTTCAATTATTTGCAAAATTGAAATAAAAAGAAAATAAACATGATGAATAACAATATGTGAATAACGATAAAAACCCCATATTATAAGATTGTATGAAGAAAACATTGTAGAATGAAATATTTGATCAACAATAAAAACTGGTGTAAAATATGAAAATACAACAAGTGTCCAAATTATAATTATTTGAATTATATCTGACGTGTCATTGGGAATTTTTAATTTTTCACTAAATTTCTTGGTAATTTGTAAATTTTTAAAAATATTTTTCAATCTCTTTTGACGAAAGGCAAAAGTTAACCATATAAAAATAACCGCTAATAATTGTGAAATATGAACAAAACCATCGACAAGAGAAGTCATGTCTATTTGTCTATGAGAGTAGATAATTTTATATTTTAACGTAAGTGACCAAAAAAATGAAAAAATATATAAAATAGAAATTAAAATTGCATACAAGCGAAAAACAAAAGAAGTTTGAAATTCTAAATTATGATAATCTAAATTTAATGGACATAAACCTATAATTTTTGAATAATAATAAAGAAAAATAATTGAAAAATATATTTTTTCTTTATATAAAATTTTCACCATACTTTTTTGTTTTAGTTAAATTTCTCAAAATTTTATAATCTAATTTTTTTTTTTAATTTCACACAATAATATACATAAAAGAACAATTTTTTTTTCTAACAATAATATTCTAAGACATGACACAATTGTTGTGTGATTATTTTTATCATCGATCGATCGAGAGACTTTTCAATTATAGAAATGAAATTCTATGGTAAGTTAAATTGAGTTAAAATTAAAAATAATAAATATTTAACAATAATAAATTAAAACGTTTAACAATTATTTAATATTATTAGATTGAAATTGATTATTTTATTTATTATTAATTTTTTAAATTTTTATTGTCAACGAAGAATATCGAATAATTAATAATTTATTGTTAAAACACTTTTTACTTTATTAGAAAATTAATTATTTTGACTTTTTTCTTTTCCAGATTTACAATCATCAAGTTGAAGCATAATTATTAAATACGTTGTTACAGTTCCAAAAATCTGTGGATATTTAATAATTATGTTTAATTATTTATTTAATTATTTAATTCTTAATTTAATTAAAATAAAAAATAAGATTTGCATTGCAAAAGGTTTAATTCGAAAAAAGTGTCAAAAATTTGAAAATTATCTGCTTACCCTAAATATAAAATGGAAATTTAAATTAATAAAGCCATGCAACGATACTATCAATTTTCTCTGAAGTAATTGTTGTGATACATTTCGAATCTAAGACAATATATTACATTTCTCATTATTTTTTTTTCTTGATAAAAATAAATATATTTTGATGCTTCTCTAAACTTTATAACTATTGAAAGACTCACTATTTTTTGACAATTTGTTGGCCTATAAAAACTCCACATTTTATGAAGAACATTTCCTGTATTATTTGCCTGTAATTCAATTTGTAAAAATTATATATTCGTTTTTTTAATTTTGTTTAATTTTATATTTAACAGCCTAATATAATAATATTTTTAAATAAAAATTTGTATAAAAAATATTAAAATTTTAAACCTCTTTAATGACACTTCCAGAAGAAATTGCAATGAAGAATAATTCTAGTGAAACGAGAGTAAACCATAAAAAATAATTTATGGTTATCCAATAGTCTTGTACTTGAAAATTTACTTTTCTAACACACTGATATATTCCATGTGATTCATAAAGAATATAACAAAAATGAGCCATCAAAAGCATTAACATTAAAACTCCAAAAACATCAACTATCATTAAACACAAATTAATAAGATTTTTGTGTAAATTTTCAAAATCGTCAATTTTTTGCGTCAAAGAATCAAAAGAACAAAATCGAATTTCTGTAGGAAAATTCTCCATTTGTCTGAATTTCAAAAAAAAAAGGAATTAAAAAATAGAAAATTTGTCTCAAAGAATATAATTTTTCAAAATTTATTACCTGCATAGAAAATTATTTGATGATGCACTATTATGAAAATTATTGTCAAGTGGTAAATGTCTCAATTTTTTATTTAATCTGCAAAATTTTCGTTGCAATATTTGCAGGAATGTGATAAAAAGAACAATCAAATTATGTATAACAATTTGTGGTAAATTATAAGGTATCCACGCTATCCAATCATAATCAGTTACCATTGAATAACTTAAAGTATCGATAAAAAATATTACCACATACGAGGTATTTATAATAATCAAATGTATAAAAATAATTCTCACAATTTCCCATTGATCATCATTGATTCCTAATTTTTTTGCCATTTTACACGTTCTTTTAAATTCATTGATAATAATTATTATTTCCTTTTGTCGAATTGCCAATATTATCCAAGAATATAATGTAGTTACAAAATTAAGTGTTAGTGCAAGTCCATTAGCAATAACTGATATAACAGTTTCCATGGGAAATTTTGCTTGCACTCGATTAATAATTAAATGAATAAATATAACAATATAGATACAACTGTTAACTAACTGATAAATTATTCCCCTTCGACAACATTTTAGAGTTCCATTTTTTTCTAAAACAAGTGGAAATATACCAATTAATTTTCCATAAAAATAGAGAATGTTTAATGATAAAGAAGGCTTTCTGTGTTTCACCATATCGAACGAATGTTAAAAAAAATAGAGAGAAAAAACAATTGAAAAGAGGAAAAACTATTATTTGGATGGAAATTGTCACATAAAATGTTTCGAAGAAAAAAAAAAAAAAAAACCTTTTAAGTCAATTAAAATTATTGATTCAAATTTCACTCATCAAAAATTCAGGGTAAGTTATAAAAAAGTTTGTTTTACTATAATTAATAACAGTCAATTATTTTCCGTGTATATAGAATAATTAATAATATTGTCAGAAAATATATAACAAATATAATTTACTATCAAAATACTTTTTACTTCATTAGAAAGAAAATTAATTATTTACCTATACTCAATTGTAAAGAATTCATTTATATATAAATATTGTTTCTTTATTAATGACTCTTTTCTTTACCAGATTTATAATCATCTAGTTGAAGCATAATTATTAAATACGTTGTTACAGTTCCAAAAATCTGTGGATATTTAATAATTTTATTTAATTATTAATTTAATTATTTAATTCTTAATTTAATTGAAATAAAAAATAATATTTACATTGCAAATGGTTTAATTTTAAAAAAGTGTCAAAATTTTGAAAATTATCATCTTACCCTGAATATGAAATTAAAATTTAAATTAATAAAACCATGTAATGATACTGTCATTTTCCTCTGAAGTAATTGTTGCGAGACATTCTGAATCTATAAGACAACATTTTATATATCTCATTATTATTATTATTATTTTGATAAAAAGATTTTGTTGCTTTTCTGAATATATTGTGAAACTCACTATTTTTTGACAATTTGTTGGCCTATAAAAACTCCACATTTTATGAAGAACATTTCCTGTATTATTTGCCTGTAATTTGATTACTCATAAATATAATTGTAAATTTTTTACTTTTCAATTATATTTTAAAAAGAAAATTTAATTTATGAATTTACTATAAAAAATATCAACATTTCAAATGAATAACGAAAATTTTTTTTAGAAAAATCAACCTCCTTAGTGAAACTTCCAGATGAAATTGCAACGAAGAATAATTCTAGTAAAATGAGAGTAAACCATATGAGATAAATTACAGTTAACCAAAAATCTTGTCCTTGAAAATTTTCCTTTTTAATACACTGATATAATCCATGTGATTCATAAAGAATGTGAAAAAAATGGGCCATCAGAAGTATTAATATCAAAGATCCAAAAAAATCCACTATCATTAAACTCAAATTAACGAGATCTTTATGTAAATTTCCTAAATCTTCAATTTTTTGTATTAAAGAATCAAATTGAATCGCTTGCCTGCGTTAAAAAATTAAAAGAAAAAATAAGAAATACAAAAAATATCAGAATATTTTTCTAAATTACCTGCATCGAAAATTATTATCAAGTGGCAAATGTCTCAATCGTTTATTTAATTTGCAAAATTTTCGTTGAAATATTTGCAAAATTGTGATAAAAAGAACAATTAAATTATGTACAACAATTTGTGGTAAATTATATGTTGTCCATAACAACCAATCAAAATTGGTATAAATAGCATAAACTATATTATCAATCAAAAATAGTCCCATGTATGAGATATTCATAATAAACAAATGTATTAAAAGAGTTCTCACAATTTCCCATTGATCATCTTTAATTCCTAATTTTTTAGCCATTTTATTTGTTCTTTTAATTTCATTGATAATAATTATCATTTCCTTTTGTCGAATGGCAAAAATAATCCAACAAAGCATTGTTGTTAAAAAATAGAGTATCATACCAAGTCCATTAGCAATAACTGATATAACAGTTTCCATGGGAAATCTTGCATGTGTTCGATTAATAAATAATTGAACAAAAATACAAATATAAACACAACAATTAACAATTGAATAAAAAATTCCTTTTCGAGAATATTTTAGAGTTCCATTTTTTTCTAAGACAAGTGGAAATAGACCAATTAATTTTCCATAAAAATAGAAAATGGTTAATGATAATGGAAGCTTTTTGCTTTTCACCATTTCGAGCGAATATCAGTCAAATAATTATATGAATAGAGAAAAAATATTATTTATTAGAAATGTTTCGAGGAATAAAAGAGCTCTTAAGTCAATTGAAATTATTGATTTAAATTTCACTCATCGAGAATTTATGACAAATGTTTATTTTATTATCTATTATTATATTTTTATTTATTACTATTATTATTCTATTATCTAATTAATAGAATAATTATTTTATGTTTATAAAAAATAATTTTATTAAATTTTGTAATGAATAAAATTATTTTGATTACCTCACTTGAAACGGATCCCGAAATGGAGGAAAGAAAAAAGAAGTCCATAATGTACATTAATATTTTAAACAAAGCATTTCCCATTTGCATGAAATTACTCTGATTTATCCCTAATAATATGAGATTGGCAACGTGAATTGTTTTAATAAAATAAAATATTATAGCAATCAACACCGGAATTTGGAAGAAATTTATTATATCCTCAGCAAGTATATTTAATGTTTTATGACACTCATTAAATAACAAAATATCTAATGATAACGAAGACCTAAGGTAATATAGAAATATTAATTAACATAAAGCAAAAAAATTAATTATATCAAATAATAATAATAATAATAATAATAAAATCTACCTCAACATTTCAAAATCATTTTCACCTTGATTAAATCTATAAAATTTCATCAGCTTCCCCAATTGAATATTTAAAAAATAAAATCTTTTTTGTAAAAAATTTAAAGCAATTACAAACAATAGAAATGTATTTGACCCGACAAAAAAAATCAAATCAAACCATATCCACAAGAGATTATATGCCCAAAATTTTGAATACAGTAATCACTGAGAAAAAGAATTATTTGTTTCAAATATAAAGATCAGTTTAAAAGTTTTTGTTTAACCCAACACAGTTTTTATGTTTAATTTTAATATATAGAAAATATTTTCTACTTTGGTTTAAAATTATTATTTGTTTGAATAATTATGTTTGATTCAAACATATGTTCTGTTTGGCTTAAACTGAAAATATGTTTAAAATTTTTATGTTTGATTTAAACATAAAAATTTATTATGAATAAATTGAAATCAACCATAATTTATGTTTAAATTAAATATATTTTCACATTGAATCAACCAGAGAATATATTTAATTTAAACATAAATATGTTTGACTGTATAACAAAGCTATTTTAAGTTTGGGTTAAACATATTATGTTTGAATCAAACATATCATTTTCTCAGTGATTGATCAAAAATATGAATTGCACACTCGTAAATATTAACAATTAGAACATAATGTAAAAGATTTTGATCAACGATTATTAAATTTTGTTCTCGAATACCTAATTTCACTAAAACTTTTTGTCAATATTTTTTATAAATTTAATGATATTTAATCATTTTTTCTGACGAAAGGCAAACAATAACCAACAATAAACGCCTGTAATGTATTGTAATTGAAGTGCAAATATATCAACAATTAATGATACACTTGGCTCTAAAGATGATCTATACAAAAGTCTAATATGAATGGAATAAAGGAAAAAAGAAAAAAATATAAAACAAAGAAATAAAGCATAAAAAATAGAACCAAGAGAAAATTTCCAATTATTATCATTATCAACAATAAGTGGACACAATCCAATAATTTTTTCTAAATAATAAAGACACAAAAATTTTAAATTCCGATTATTTTTATTCGAATTCTTTCTCATGATTCATCTAAACACTATATACGAATAAAGTGGAAAATATTTTCACTGATAAACTATATAAAAGTTTATAATTGAATAAATAATCAATATTAATACCTAATGATAATCATCTAATGTTGTGATAATTTATAAATGAGTTTTTGTAAATTGCATTTTTATCACATCAATTTATAAAAGAAATATGCGTACACTGTAAAAAATTTCGAAATTTTTTCCAATAAAATAGTAGGATATTTTTTAGAAAGTAGGTGGAAAATACGGTTTATCGAATGTTTAATAGGAAATATATACGAAAAAAGGAGGAAAAATACTAATTCCACAGAAAAACGGAAATTCATCTAGAATATTTGGAAAAGCTTCTGAAAATGATGGATTTTTTTACAATATAAGTGGGCAATATTTCCAAAGAAATTAGGAAAAAAGCTTTTTCAGCTTTCAAAAGTAATTCAGAAAATAATGTAATCTTTTTAATATTTATCGGAAATATTTCCAAAGAAAGGCAAAAAAAAAAAAAAAATGTTTTTTGTATAGCAAATTGTAAATTTTTTTTCTCTTTGTAAATTTACTTATTTCACTATGATTTGTTTTATTATATGACCATAAATAACCATTGCAAAAAATATAAGTTTCGAAAAAGATTTCTTGTATATGTATCATAAAATTTTATTGCTAAAAAAACATACGATGGTTGAAAGATTCTTTTTCGATTTGAAAGGTTTTTCACATCTGGTTTGTCTTAGGATGACCAGCTACAAGGGTTTCTTATTACCAGAAAGCCTATTTTATGAGTTTTTCGGGTCTCGTTTTTTTCTTATAGATTTATTTAGACGAAAAGTTTTCAAAATTTTTTTCGTATTGAAATATACAGATGAAATGTTTGAAAATTTTTCACATTTTCGACGACATTTCCTCAGAGAGGACTTTCAGGCATCAGTTGCTCTTCAGCATTCGCAAGAGATTAACCACATATAACAATTAGTGAGAAAAATTTTTTTATGCCTATAATAGTGAAAGTTACTTTTTTGTGAAGTGAAAAATTTGATTTAATAATATTCAAGGAGTTCATTAAAAGGTAAATAATAATTAACACTTTTATAACAATAATTTTTTAGGATTCATAAAGAAATGCACTGAGAAAAATTTTACATTATATTTAGGGGTACATTTTCTGTGAGTTGGAATAAAATTTTTTTCTAATGAAGAAAAATAATATGTAGACAAAAATAAATTTTAAAAATTCAAAAAATTTCCCGTACCGGGAATCGAACCCGAGCCTCCTGGGTGAAAGCCAGGTATCCTAGCCACTAGACCATACGGGATATGGGAGATGATTTTTTAAAGTTGTTTAAGCAAAATCAACCTGATTTTAATAAATATTCCACAACAATGAGGGGACAAAACGTAATATTTCATTGATATTGTTTTTTTTTCCCAAAAAACTCAATTTTTTGAAGATTCCTACTTATTATTGTTTCGAATCTACCAACAGTAGGTAATGTACCGACTGTAGATAATTTACAGACCACTAAAGATAGAAATCTTCATTATCTACATTTAGAAAGAGACGTTCAATAAAATTGAAATTAGAATTTCAACATACCGCTGAGCATTAAAAAATGAATTCTTGTAAAAAAAAATTCCAAACAATTTTTTTTGGAAGAAAAATCAAAAAATTTGTCAGAAGTGGGATTCGAACCCACGCCCTCATAGAGGACCAGAATGCCCATGACACTCAGTAGAACTGAGAAGGTTGAACCTTGAGTCTGGCGCCTTAGACCGCTCGGCCATCCTGACATGACATAGGAAAAATTAAGATCCAACAAGAAGAAAATAATAATTTAAAATTTTTAAAAAATCTATTAAACACATTTAAACAAGCAAAATATCTCATTAATCGTCATTCGACATGAAAATATAGGAATACTCATATTTAAAAATCAATAAAATGATATCTTTCAACACTAACATCTGTCATTTGCCGTATGAACTAGCTTTAATGTCGATAAAACAGTCTACTCTTAATTTAAATACTAAAAATCAATGTTATATTTAATTTTTTTGAAATCTAAAAACAAATAAGAGCGCAAAAATTTATAATTTAAAATGTTTAATATTTTCTTTAAATATTAATAATTATTAAAAACTATTTAAATAAAAATTTGATGTAATTAAATGTATAGTTTTATAATATACACACTATTGTTTCTATGGCAACAGAGAATACAAGTAGCTTGCACAAGTTGCACAAAATGAAATTCCGTTTATATAAAAAATGATCAGAAAAAATAACTATCAATTATTTATTTTCGCTTTTTTATCACTAACATTATTAAAAAGCAGTTTAACAATTAACAATGAAATAATTGAATATTTTCAAATTGATGACTGTCAACAAAACGAATATTTTGATACTTCTTCACTTTCCTGCATGGAATGCGATATAGACAAACATTTAGTGCCTTCAAAAAATCGTGAGTTTTTCTTTTTTATTAAATAATTTAATTATTAAATATTTATTTTTCAATTTTTAAATAATGAATTAATTATTAATATTATTAGTATAATATTAATGTTTTTTTTTTGCTAAATATAAATAAATAACTATTGTCTAATTCGAAACTATAAAGAGAATCTTCCAGAATATTCTAAATGTTTATTTAATAAATTAAAATTTTTAAATTCAATCAGGTTTAAAATGTGAGTGTGATAATAATAGTAAATTAATTGGATTTGAAAATTATTTTCCTATATGTAAACCATGTAAATTTGGAACAATTCTAACAAGCGACGGAAAAGATTGTATTCCTTGTAGAAAAGAAAATTCTACATTAAATTGTTCATGTCCTTTAAACAAGATAAAAGGTAAGAAACAAATCTTTAATTAAATTAATCTGATAAATATTCAATTAAGTTAAAATCTTATAAATGAAGAAAAAATATGTTCAAATTAAAAATTTTTATATTATTGAAGTGAATTACAGTCGCAATTAATTTATTATTATTAATTTTATAAATAAATTATTTTTAATTATAGTTGAAAGAAAATTGACTGGAGAATTGTTGGAGACTGTCCAATGTCTTCCATGTTTCCCGAATGCTTATCCATCATTTGATGGACAAGTCTGTCTACCATGTAATGATATTAAATTTAATAGACTCACAAATTGTGATTGTCCAGACGAATTTTTTATTCGATTAAATAATTACTGCTTTCCAAAAAATTATTCATACTGGTTTGAATTACATAATACATATTTTGTGGAATTTCAAAATCAAACTTTTGAAAGTTATTATCTCAAAAAAAATTTACAATTAGCCACATATTTGTGCAAGGTACAAAATTTAATTCAAATTACTTTAATTAAAAACATTTTTTTTTTTTTGTAAATTAAGATGTAAAATTTAATTTTTTTTAAACAAAATTTTAGGATGAAAACAAAACAGAATGTGAACATTTATCAAACATGTGTGCATTAACTTTATTCTCCAATGAAGCGGCCTGTAATTTTATAAGACTGAAAGATTCTTCTTTATTTTACAAAGAAGACACTATTTCTATTATAAATAGTAAAAATATTTCACAAAAATATAATCTCGACAAACATTCTAATGTAAGAATTTTTTAGTAATATTTTTTAAATTATTAATCAATTATTATTATTTTATTATTAATTAAAAAAAAAAAAAATTTTATCATTATATTATTTGAAACAACTTTTTTTATAAAATTAAAATATTAATATTAAGAAATGATAGAAAAAGTAATTAAATGACTATATTGTTATAAAATATTGCAAGTATTTTAATATTTAATATCTTCACATTTAGAAAAGCACTATTGACCTTAAAGTCATAAAATATTCTTTGGAAGGTGAATTCGAATCTATAGACGTGCCATATATTTTTAACGAATTATTATATGTAAGATTCGGAGTAAATATTCATAAACAACAAAAAATAATGACAAAAGAATTAATGGAAAGAAAAATGGAATTTTTAATTCCCTATCTTGCTTACAATAATGAGAATAAAGTAAATTTACATTCTCTTCCTATTTTAGTACAACAAATAAACGAGGTAATCAAACTCTAAATTATATTTTAAAATAAAATTTAAAAAATTAATTACTGATTATCATTAGTATTATTAATTAATAATAATAATTTATTAACTATTATTATTATTATTATTATTATTAAAAATAACTAACAATAATTGTAATAAATTCAATATTATTTCATTTCATAATTAATTCAATATTAACAGAAGGATTTAAAAAAAATGTTTTTTTATAGAATAAAGAAATTTCTCAATGGAAGCTCGTAAGAAAATTTTTTCTAGTTGATTCTGTTACTGGAAGGAAATCTATCAAGAAATCTGTTAACGACAGTTTGAAAAGTGATCACGAACTATCAGGACTGCGTTATTTAAAATCACTCGAAATTTTGTAAGTAGAACACGAGTTTTAAAAAATTAGACAATTTCATTACAATAATAATTTTAATTTTTAGAATAAAAGTTCAATCGCTAGAAGATCATGGAAAAATATTTCCACCTTTATTTATAATACAATATGATGAATTAACGAAACAACAAATTTTAAATGACGAACAAGTATTAGTGGATGTAAAAGTAACTTTTGTTGCATCAGAGCAAAACATTACCAAAATAATTGGGGTAAATTTTCATTTTAATTAAATAATAATATGAAAATTTATTATTTATTAATATATTAATAATTTCAATTTATAGATAACAGTTGGATTTTTTGCAATTTTTGCTGTGATTTTGTCAGCCTTAAAAACTTGGACTTATCGACGAAGAAATTATTCAAGTGAATTTAATATATTATTGATTCTGTGGTTTTTAATATACTTCCTCATATTTATTGCAAATATTATTCTCTTTGTGTCAATAAGTACTTGTATATGCACATTTATTTTCTATAAAGGACAAACGGTTTTACATATTCCACTGCCTGATAAAATAGATGAAACGACAATTCATATTTGTACAATAATTGCATTTTGCCTCAAGGTAAGATTAATAATTTAATAAAAATAAATTATATTTTCCCGCAATTAGATTTTTAATATTGATCAAATATTTAATTCAATATATTAGACTATCGAATTGATAAGTGTTCTTTTTCGTCAATGGAGTGTTAATTTATTTTTCATTGATTGGGAACAACCGAGAGCAATATCGAGCTCAATGGAATATTCTTCGCCGAGAACTAATCTGAAAAAATTATTCAGCGACAAATTAAATGGAAAAAATGGTGATATTCCAAAAAGAAAAAGAAGAAGAGCATCAAAATCAAAAATTCAAACTGAGATTGATATTTCTCCAATTAAAAAAAATGAAGAACAAGAAAATGAGAGAACAATTCCAAAAAAAACGCCAGTAAGCGTTTGGAGAAGTTTTTTTATTGTCAATGAATTTTACAAAATTCAAACCAACAGAAGAGTCAGCATAATGTTTCAAATAGTTTCGACTCTTTTCTTTTTAGAGGTAAGTAAAATTTAATTTTACCTCGAAAAGGTAAAATTAATATAGTAAAATTAATTAAATTATTAATTAATTGTTTCAGGTAATTGGCCTAAAAAATTGGTCAATAGGAATTCCAGAATTGAGTATTAATGATGAGAAACGAAATGAATTACAAAAAAATTACACATTACGTTATGGAATTGGTGCATTGGTTTATTTGATTCTATATCTTTTTCAATGGCTCCTATCAATTTCAATTTACGAAACATATGTGCGAAAAAGAATTCAACGTTTTATCGATTTATGTTCAATATCAAATATAAGTTTATTTATATTACATTTCAAATATCACGGATTTTATATTCACGGTAGATCGGTTCATGGTTTTGCCGACACGGATTTAGAAACTCTCGTCAACGATTTAAAAAAAGAGGAAAAAAATTTATGCCCCCATAGAGGACTTGTTCCTGGAACAATTGAACAAACATTTATCATTTCCGTTACACCTTCATTTCGTAAAATGTTAGAATCTTCATATGGATCCGAAGAAATGGTATAATAAATTGTTTAATTAAAAATTTGCAATTAAAAAAAAAAAAAAATTAAAATTAAATTTATTATTTTTAGTCAGAAAAGCGTTTCCTCCGAAAGCAGTATACACGTTTTTTAAATTGGGAAAAATCAATAATGGCTCATGAAAAAGTAATCAAATTTTTATCAAAATTCATTGATCATTGTTTCAAGGATCTTGATTATGTGGTGAAAGATAAACTATTTATAGAAAATTTATGCGATACAGAATTTGTATCATCAAGGGATAAATCTGTTTTTTATCGAGGTAAAAATACAATAAATGTTGAATATAAAAAATTATATTATTAAATTTTTTTTTTCTTTTTTTGCAGATAATAGTAATTCATTCGAATGTATTACTTTCTATGGAAGCGAATGGATACTTGGTACATTTGAAATTGCACTTTTTGTCTTCTCCCAAGCTATTTTTCAAAACTACGTTATTGCTCTATTAATTACATTTTTAATTTCACATTCTCTTATGATAATCAACAAGTGGAATGTCAAAAGAAATTTGACAAAAAATACTCTGATAAGTAAAAGATTTCTCGTGTAAATGTTGAGAAAAATTAGGAGATTTAAAATTTTAATTTTTAAATTCTATTCAAAGTTCTTTTTTTTTATCTTTAAGAAGTTATTCGAAAATATAAATTTTCAATGAATTATTTACTTATAGATTATATAGAAAAAAAAACTTTGTGATCTGTTTTTTAAGACTTCAACAGGGGAAAGATTTGCTAAATGAAATTAACTATAGTGTATATATTTTTACGATATTTTAATCTTCAATAAAAGATGTTTTCCATTTTCAACTAGTTCCATCCTTTTTTCTTTATAATTTACACTAACCTCTCTTTCTCTCTCTCAATTTGTAATTCATTTAATAAAACATAATTTAATGGTGCTCATGATGGCCAGCATATTTAATACCAAATGCTTTCTCCGCAGCTATCGTTATGAGAAATGCTGGGATTCCTAATTTCCAACCATAAAATAAACAACCTAGAGTCCTTTGCAATTGTGTTCCATAACCTGGATGAAATCGCCAAACATGATTTCTTGCCCATGGATCTTTTAATCCTAATTTTCCTAAATCTTTTTGTAATTTTACCAATTCGGGTACATTTTCCCATTTGTATATTGTATGAGAAGGAATTTTAATTTCAGGCGGTCCATGTCCATGTCCACCCATGATCTACGAAATTGAATAAAAACAATAGTTTTATAATTAATTAATCATATTGAATATGTATTATTAACCAATTAAATCTACCGTTAAATTATTCATTAAAGAACGAAAATATAACGTGGAAATTGAAATTCTATATTCAAAACAAAAACAAGACAAAAATTTTTATGACAATATTTAAAAAAAATGGAATACTAAAAATAAAAACCTAAATCATCGATAAAACACACAAAAAAAAACAACGAGCAATTAAAAAAATTAACGAAACTCCTAAGACTTAAAGAATCAACAATACATCAACAACTAAAATTCAAAACAGAAATTCCAACGAAAAAAAAAAAAAACAAAACCAAACAATCTATCGATATTTTCAATTGCCAAAGATGAAAAAAGATAATTTTCTCATTTTATAAATATTAGAATTAATATTCTATTAATTTAGAATAAGTAATGACAAAATTACATAACATAACCTATAAGATTGACATAGTCTATATTTCGCGTTTTAGATACTAGATTCGATAATATTTGTGAAAAATTATTATTACCGTAAAATAAAAAATATTTATTTCATTTAATGAAAGTAAATTGTTAAATTCACTCACCAATTAAACAATATTATATCAAATAATTTATTAGACTATAAAAAATATTCTCAATAAAACACAAAATTGCAGAGGCTGTGACTGTGAGTAACCTTAAAGACTTGATATGATGATAAAACAGATTTTTTTCAGGGAAAATTCAATGTAACGAGCGGACTATTCTCGCTTGAATCATTTCGATTTAAATAAATTTAAGTGTAATTATAAAACATTTTTATAATACTCTTAACATTTTCTCATAATAAATAAAATAGAGTTTTCACATAAAGGAAATAGCATGACTAATTCTAAAGTATTTCTATTGAACTTTTAAGTTTATTTCAATATCGTATTTCTTTTAGCAACATAAAAGATTAAAAGAGATATGTCGTAAATCAGTACAAATAAATAAGAGAAAATATATATTCACTTATTTCCTCTTATTTCAATTCCTAAATGTAAACCTAGAACGTCATAAAAACTACTTGAAAAAATGTGATCCTTTCTATAAAAAAAAAAGGCACACTAAACACATGTTGACCAGACACGGACTTTTACTACCTTCAATAGAAAAGTCGCGCACAGGCTAAACAATAGACGAAAGTCTACAACGGAAATGCTTTGTATAAGAAATCAATAAATAATTATTATTATTACAATACATAATATTGTAATTTAATATTATTATAATAATATAAGTATGGATCTTGACTCTGACATAGAAAGGTTGTTTCTAAACTCATTAGTCAGCTTTGTATTTTATTAATATTAATAAATTTACAGGATTTTACCTTCGAAGGAAGAACTAATAATTATTCTTCCTTGGAACGGGTTTCCCTTCCGTTGTATCGGAAATTAATAATCTTTTATTTAAACCTTCCCGCTTCCTTCTTAAAGGATTTAACTAAAGAGAATCCGACCAATTACATTCAATTATTAGAGTTGCGTAATAAAAGGTAACTCGGCTCGTAACAAATGATTTAAAAAAAAAAAAATAATTTTAAATCATGAGCTAATTTAAAAACACGGATATGATTGCCATCGATTTTTAAAAATTTTTGTGGAAAATGGGAAAAAATCACATAGCGACAGTGGATATATTTTATAAGTTAATTAAAAGCCAACAATTAATAAATTTTTATTTATGAAAACCAAGTTTTATCAAAAAAAAAAAAAAAAATAGTTGACTTTTAATCAAATAAATTATAACACAGTACCTTTATAAAATCTGAAAGAAACACATTTATTAACATCCTATTCTAACTTATAATTTTTTAAATAAATTATTGTTTAATTAAATTAAATTAATTAACAGATTAAAAATTTGTAAGAAAAAAAATTTTATTTTAATGAAATGTAGTAAATTTTTAATATTAAACCATTTAATTCATAATATTTTAATTTCTTTTTAGGTATTTTAATTGAAAGTCTAAATTCCATTTTAATTAAAAAAATATAAAGTATAAATAAAAGAAATTAGAAGAATTTTTAAATATTATTTGCTAAATTACATTTTTTCTTGGTCTTAAAAAAATATAATTGCGCAACTAATTATTTTAAATAAATAAATTAAAATTTTCAATATTAAGCAACAAAAAATTTTTAATTTTCGCGAACCAAGAAAAAAGGACCTATACTATTAGAAACATATACACGTGATATCCACCTGCTAATTAAATAGATTAATTATATAATAAAATTCATTATTATTCGATTTAATTAGCTGCCACTACATGATTTTTTCAAATTATTACAACCTGTTTCCACCACAACATTTTTGGAAAACAGGAGGGACTTACAAAGTCGCTGATGTTGTTGTTGTCCACATGTTGTTCTCATTTTCCTGGTTGAGTAGAAAAATTCTGCGATGATTTTCACGGACCATTTTTCTTGTTGATGAGAGGGATGCTGGCTCCAGTTCTTTTCACTTTCCGTCTTATCACTCAATTACAACGAAGATTTTGATATCCAATTTTTTTTGTTTGGCACAGTCATCAATAATGAAAAAAACTGAAAAATAATTATTAACCTATTATTGAAAATGTTGGCTAAAAGTATTGAGAAAAATTGTCATTAAATATTTTATATTCAAATTATTGGAAATTTAAATACTTGTTAAAAAGTTACATATAACCTAAAAAAAACTTTTTGTTTTAACAACAAAAAACAAACAATTTACAACAATTGAATATTCTACTTCTATGAGAATATACTGGAGAAAAGTATTATTTACACACGATACCATTCGAATTTTCATCTTAAAAATTTCCGAAATATCATTTGCATAATAACAAGAAAATGCAAGTTCTAAATTACCGAATAAATTTCATACTATCAGGATTTTTGACCACTAACAAATAAAAAAAAAAAGTGCAAAAATGAAAATCCTTATAGAAATTCTATAAACCGACGCCATTTTGAAAAAAATGTTAATGTTATGGCAATTTCACTGAAAAATGTTTGCACAGAAAAATTATAACCTAAAATGTCACTATATTTAAAAATAGAAAATACATTCTAATAATGTAAAAGTTTAAGACAATCTCAATTAATACTCTAATTTTTTGACATTCTATGCACACAAATATACATTAACAATGAAAATTTATAACATCGATCTTTACACCATATTTTTTCAATCATCGAACATTTGTCGGTACAATTTTTATAAAATAACATATAATCCAACTCAAGAAATAGATAAAATACAAAAGTTTGATAAATAATAAAGAAAATTTACCTTTTTACGGTGAAAAAGCAGAGGAAGATGTTGAGTAACCGCCAACTTTCAGCACAATGTTCCACTTAGGTGGAATGCCTATTGCCAGGGGCTCAAAGCTTAATGCTCTGATTGGCTGAAATATCAATACAACATTCTGATTAGTGGACAAGTATTAATGAAAATATTTGAATAATATATTTAAAGAGGATATTAAATTAAAATTTCATTGTATTTATAATTAAATCACATTAAATATTTATTGTTTAAAACACGAGGCACTTTATATCATGATTTTATTATTTTAATTTCTCTAGAAACGTTTAATTGTACTTGACAAAGTGATTCTTTTGACTAGAGTCTTTACTTCCGTTATTTAAATTCACCGTTGTCGGTAAAACAGATTTTGCCGGGAAAATTCAAATAAAATGAACTTTAAAAATATAATACATTTTAATTATTATAATTATAAATAAATATAAAATGAATAAATAAAAATTTTTAATTTGCTCAGAGACAAAAATTTCGAATCAGAAATTAAATTAATAAATTCTTTTAAAGTAGAGAAAAAGACTGAAAGAAGAATTTAAAATTTATTAAATATAACAATTGTAGTTAGTATAAAAATTAGAATTATTTAAAACAAAAAAATTGACATTTTCCTTTAAAAATATTAAAAAAAAGAAGATGAAAGGATTGATAAATACAACTAATATGCATAACATACGTATTCATTATTTATGAATTTACATCATAATATAATATTATTTTTCTAAACACAACGCTAATATATATATACTTCTGTATCTTTCCATTACAATCGTAAACAATATCAGCGTTCAATTAATTACAAAAACTGCACAGTATAACATGTTTCAAAAAATATGATATCTCTGTTTATCCTGTAGTTAGAAAACCTTTTTAAATTTTTTTTTTTTTATATTTTCAACCACGGGAAAATGCACGTATCACATTTGCATCGCTCTGTTAATTGGGCTAAGCGTAGATTAGCAACGATTCATACCATACTCTTAATCAGATAAATGCTTCTTTCTTGAGGAACGATTAAAGTACAATATTAAACAATCTCAGATGCAATAAATGGGAGGGGAAAAAATGAGAAAAATATTCTCCTCATTATTATAACGTAGCCATTAAATTTTTCAACTTTATAAACATTAATTAATTATTTATTAAAGTAAATGTCTATAGGGGGAGCGAAAATAAACGCACTCTTGCAAATTAGTAATTAGTGAATGTGAAAATTGACTTTTTTTTTTTATAAATGTCTTCTCGCTCATCAAAGATAAAAACACCTATATAAAATACATTCAAATCTGACACAACGATTTAGAAATCGTTTAACATCGACGCATCCTTAATATTCTATGTCAAAAAAAAAAAAAAAATAAAAAAAAAAAAAAAATTCTCAGGAAACAAATGTCCTAGAAATTGATATCAACAATATTATGTCAGCGCTTGAACTTTGGAAGGAATCTTGCACATTTCTTTCGGTATCACTACGTATTGGGTAAAGGCGCATTATTTCTTGATTTACAGTTACTTAACAACTAGTCAGTTAATTGTTTATCGCCACACAATAACAGTCAATGTACTGTATACTATAATTTTAAAACGATCAACACCTTGACATAGATCTTTTACGTCATGCTCATTTTTAAAAGAAATTTTTCCTCTATAAAGAATGATTAATTAAAAAAAGAAATTTTTTTCATGCAAAAAAGAATTCAATAAACATTTTAAAAATATCAAAAGAGAAATTTAGCTTCTATTTTATAATTTAAAAAAAAATTTAAATAATTATGTTTAAAAATAATTTAATTAGAATTGATCACTGTACAAAAAAAATATAAATTAATTAATAATATTCTTGCAAATATATTTTTGATTTTCAATAACACATTTGAAAGAAAAAATAAATCTAAAAAATTTGATAGATTAAAATATTTTAAAAAATTTTTACCTACAATTTAAAAGATTGTTTTGAAAACAGATATCAATTGTAAGAAATAATTAATAAAAACCATAATTTCAATTTCTTTCAAATCCGAACATTTAGCAAAAAAAAAAAAATAAACTCTTGTCAAATGATCTTCCATTAATTGTATTGAATAATAGGCTAAGGGCAAGTATTCGCGATATCGTTTTAAGAGAATCACTTTATCGAAACTAACACGATTGTTTGTTAATACAATCAATATCTACATTCCAATTTCGAAAGCTTCAATGACAAGCTCGTGAAAACGCCAGAGATAAAATATCCAATAATTTTCTTTCTTTCTCAATATATAAGTTGTAAAAAAAAAAAACTTTGTATCCAAGTCGCAAGCTTATTTAATAGATAAGGCACTTTTTAAACCTGTTTTTTTTGTGTTAAAATTTCGATGGCTAATGTTAACAAACACACTTAGAAATCTATAAATTATCAGACTTAGTTTAATAAGGTAAATTTTTTTTCTTTCAGGCACTGAATTTAATTATTTTATTTGAATACTCGTGAGCGAAGAAATTATAAATAAAGATTTCCTTTTTTTTTTTCTTTTCTTTATCAAGAAAGTATTTCCATTCGTTCGCCTACTCTTCACAGAAAAGACAACATCAGGCTATACAAAAACAGGTGTGGAAAAAAATCATGTTGGAATGATAAAAAAATATATTCTTTCCTTAACCTTTTTTTTTAAAAAAAAAACAAATACCCATACGATAGGTATTGTTTTAAAACAAAAACATCAACTTTATATTTTTTTCAATCAAGTATAAAATAGTTATTATTATTGAGTTTGGTCCCAACTCAGTGGAATAATGTCATTCTTTATATATGCTTGATTAAATGCACAAAAAAATAATTATAAAAAAAAAAAATTAAAAAATAGAACTTGTAATATATACTTGTGTTTTATAAACCTCCAGTAATCCTAAAAAGAATCTCAAAAACTTTGAGAAATCTATGGAAAATTGTCCAGCAGATTGAAAAAATACTTTGCATAAAATATATTCCATCAAGTTTGGAAGAACGATCAGAAAAAAAATAGATTCCTAAAATATTCACAACGTTCAAGTAAACAAAATTCTTTCCTTAAAAAATTTTTCCAAAAAATAGATAAGATAAATGGAATACAAAAAGTAAATTGATGAATACTCGAATACTTTTGAAAGATTAAATTTTCAATTTACTGTATTTTTAAATTTGAATAAAATTTACTTGAACGTTAAGAATATGAGGAAGATAAAAAATATTTGTTGATCTTCTAGAGTATTCTTTTGTTACGTTCACAATTTCCACGCTCATACATAAAAGCATTGCAATTGATGCGCGTAGAAATGAGAAGGTATTATAATAATAATTATCATCTTTTCTTTTTTTTTTCTTTTTCTTAATGCAGACCTCGACCCTGCGCGTCTTATACTCTAGTTAGAAAAGTTTTGTTACTAAGGTGGAAGGCGAAGCAGCGAAGACTTCAATGTGAACAATCGTGAAAAACTCAGATTTGCGCTGGTTCAACATAATTTGCTGGCAACATTCCATGGCGACCCGTACGTTGCACGACTCCAGTCATCCATCCTTCGTCAATTGCTGTACAATTAATGATCAAGTCACCGTCGCAAAAGCTCACCTCATCAACGTCCTGAGCCTCATAATCGTACATCGCTCGATAAACCCGCTAAAATCATTGATTCACATATTTATCAACTGTTATTACTTATATTAACTAATTTATTAATAATAATAGTATTTCTAATTATTAAGAAAATTACATAATTATTTACAGCAAATTATTAAATTTAAATAGAATTCTTCTAATTATTGAAGAAAAATGAATACTATGCTTGAGAAAAATTAATGTGATTCATTTCCTCAAAAAATATTTTTAAATTCAACTATTAAATTAATTACACAGTCAAGAGAATGTTCATGAATTTTTAGAAAGTTTTTCTTCTCCAAAAAAAGAAATAAAATTATAATAATTAAATTTAACTAATAAATTTAAATTTTAATAGAGAAACAATTACCCCAGAGGTTGGTGGTGGAGGAGGTGGTTGATGTTGAGTAACATGATTGTTATTCATAGCGGGCGTCAAAGAACCATAATATTCATTTACTGGATCAATATCAGCAACGGATCCAATTTTTCGAACTGGTGGATTCGTCACTGGAATAGAATAAATAATACATAAAGTACTATCGCTAAACTTAAACAGAGAATAAAATTTAACATGCAATCAGGAACTATAAAAAAAAGAAATAATTTCATGCAGATACAGATAATGAAATATGTAAAAAAAAAATATTTTTTAAAAAACTTACTTTGTGGGGATTTCAATAATTTTCTAAAAAAAATTATTGAAAATATTTAAAAATGTTTTCATCCCGTTTATACTTCTAAATATAAAAACAAATTTAAAAAAAAATTTCAACTGAAAAATACTAAAATAAAAAAAAAAACAACAACGAATAAACAAAATATTAATTATTAAAGAACAAAATAAAAATTTTAAAAATTATGTTAAAAAATAAATAAATATAATAAACAATAAATAAAAATTTAAAAAGAAAATTGAAAAAATTTTCAATTTCCAATTGATTATTATCATTTATGATAATAAAATAAAAATACTAGAAGCAATCTCTGAGAAAAAGGACAATGAGCAGATGAGATTATATAGCGCAGGACAAAGATATATAAATGCAGCAATGATGCAGCGGAGCAAAATCTCACCTGGACCTTTGTCACTAGTATAAATGACAGTTGTAGCAGCTTGTCTAGCCGAATATGGACTTGGTCTAGCTTCACTAAGAGGATCATAATCAGCAATCCTGCCAGGTGCCCTTTGTACAGGCGAATGAGCTGTTGGAGGTGGTGCTGGATTCGCATTTACATTCGATGTTGGCGTAATTGTACCATCTGGATATTCTACATATTCTAAGCAACAAAGCACAAAAAAGCTATTCTAATAAACAGTTCTTCAAGTTATATTTTCTTTCTTTTTTTTTTTTGCTGAGAAATAAAATTTGTATATAAAACTAATTAGCTGTTAAATTAATATTTAACTAACAAATTTATAATTTATAAATTGACAGTATTTAATTTACAATTATAAAAATAATAAAAAAAAATAAATATTTAAAATAATTTTTAAAAATCCATAATTATGAAAGCAATTACAAGGAAAAAATAAAAAATAAAAAGTATTTAATTACACTAATTTAGTTATTATAACCAATCAATTTACAGGTACTACGTAACAACAAATAATAAACCAACAATTTTTATGATTTCCCTTATTTAAAAAATAATAAGCAAAATTTGTAAAACACAAAAAGCGACGAATTTTCAAGAAAGAGAAAAAAATAGGAATATTTACCGATTTGTTCACCATTTTCACCAGTCATAGTCCTTTTTTGTTCCATAATGGCTTTTTTCTGAAGTTCACCATGATAGGCAACGTTCGATATAATCTTGCTGTTCTGTTTAATTCTCAATGTTTCTGGGTCGTCTGCTACCTGAGTGAACTTGCCCTTTGCTTTCTCAAACTCCGCATGATATTTAACATTACTTTGGATCTTTGTATTTTCAGCGATACGTTTCAGCTCTGGTGTCTCCGCCATTGTTGTTGCTTTTGCTTTTGGTATATGCCTGTAAATAAATAATATTATCAATAAATAAAATTTCATTTATAATTTATAACTATTCAAAATTTTAATAAATAATATTAATGTAAAAAGTAAATAATAAACTATAAATTATTTCATTATTTCATTTTATTTTCTATAATTTTGATGGTGAAAAAAATGTCCTAAATGGACATTTCCTTTTTCTATTCGCTAAACTCATCATTAACTTGCAAATTATGTCTAAGTATCTAATTAAATTTTCAAAGACGCTTTCTCAGTTTTTTTTTGCCATGTGCATAAATTCCAACACAGCACTTTTAATTGTTACTTTTACTATTAAATTTAAACGTGTAAAATTTTATAGAACAAGTGTTTTCAAATTGACGAGAATCTTTGAAAAGTTGATTTTGCCATTTTTGAGAGCAGATAAAAAAAAAAATTTATAATTTTTTATTTTCAAGTAAAAGTATAAATTATGGGATTAGTGTTTCGCCAACATGTTTATAGTATGGAAAGGAGCATCAGCGAAAGACAGTGTAATCGCAATAGATGCGGTCAACGACACACTCTTATCGCAGACATCCTCTGCAAATGGAGATCATCGCTGAAGCATAAACTTCATCGCTATGGGAATATAAATGAGCGAATGAGTTCTCTCTCTCTCTCTCTCTTTTGATGACAATTACACGTGTAGGTATGACAGCATTGTTCAATGGAATTAGAATGACGCTGCAACCACCTTAATTACTCCTTCCAGGAAGTCAAGTCAGAGGAAGACTGATTATTAATATCGCTTCATTATTCATTTATTAAAGACACATTTTTTTTTCCAACAAAATAAAATAGTTCAACACTTATTTCAAAAAGAGGCATATCTAACAAAATGCATATAAAATGAAAATTTGATTAAATATATATCAATTAAAACTCGATTTTTTTTCATCGATATAAGAATAAAATTTTACCACAGTGAAATAAAATCACATTTCATTCACAATTTCAGTCAATGAAAAGGTAATAATCAGTCACTTTTCCATTCATTAAAAGGAAATTTTATCGATTCTATCTAAAAGAAAATTATCAAATGTCTAAAGTTTACAAATATATTTAGAAGAAACAATATATAGTGTAAAAATGAAATAAAATTCATTGTGCACAAATATTTTTTTTTTTATATGTAATCGAGATTTGTGTCACGAGTTCGTTTTCCATATATGGAATCTTTACGGTCTCGCCCAGGCATTATAACTGCAAGTTATGCAATTCAACATCGAGTACCGATTACTTGATGTAGAAATACTAAGTCAATGAATATGTAAGCGAAATTATTATACAGCGACAAAAGAAATGCATGTGTACAAAAAAAAAAATTATACCCCAATTTTCCTTTTCCAAATTATTTTCAACAAATTTCATTTTATGTCAGTTACTAAATTTTCATTTAACATAATTTTTTTTATAAATAAACAACTAGCCTTTAGAAAGAAATAATTACATAATAATTATAAGTGAATTAATTTACTCAACGAGAGTCAGAGCAATGAAGTGTCAATGGAAACATACAATTTATACTTAATGTTTATGAGATTAAAAAAATTTTCCCAGGCTTTGATCCGTCATTTTACTTGCAAACTATTAGCATAGATTATAACGGATTTGCAATCGCGACCTTGAATAATTGTATACGTGTTCGAGGTCCGAACGGTTCACTATATCTATACCTAGATTGACGAATCGAGAAAATCAGTCCTAGAGAGAGGAATATGTTCATTTTTAGCAAAAATTATAAATATTTTTTTAATAAAAATTCATTAACAATTTTCAAGTATGAATTTTTAAATAGAGAAAATTAGTTACGAAATTGAAAATTAAAAATAAAAGTAACTCCCGTTTGTTTTAGTTCCAGATGTTTGCTTTACAAGAAATGTGACTAATTTTGAAGAACCTTCAGTGGAATTTTCTTGGATTAATAGAGCCTATTATGAAGAAGCTAAATTTAGAATTTAAAAAGGATGCTGAACTAATTTCGACTGTTTTGGAATTTTTTTTTTTTGATTCTTTCTTCTCATTCAATTTTCTTTTAAAAAAAAGCGCTTTTGTTCTTGAAAGAGAAAAAACTTTAATAAGCTAATTAATTTTGATATAGGATTTGAAAATGAGATTTGATAATTAACAATATCGGTCGCATCTCTCATATATAACAATGATCCTCGTTGATGATAGATACTTCCTTTCCGACTTTTTACTTGTCCTTCGTTTGAAAAGGTTAACTATGTATCTATTCACGGAGTCACGAACCCGGAACGACTGTCTAGTCTTCATTTCTGTTACGTCTCTTCTCCTCTTGAATCAGTTTAAACCTATACAATGATCTCAGGATACGCTCTAATTTCTTCATAAGAGCTCAAACAGTTATTACCAAACGTCTTTTAAGAAACTTTATAATCACTGATGAACTTTTTGAAGGAAATAACGATGTTAATTATTTCAAAAATTCTCTTTGTATTAAAATATTTCGTTATTTTTTTAATTTTTGATTATTTGAATAATTATACTAATTTTTTCTCATTTTCATCGTTAATTAATAGAATTATATACTAATTAATTTAAAAAGAAAATTACATTTCGCTTATTTGTATTATTTAAACTGACTTCTTACGGCATCGAGTGATTTATTGCCAACTAATCGCAATTAAATTCTGCAGACTTAGCAAAATCCTTTTTTTTAAAATAATTATGATACTCAATCGATTATAAATTTAATGCGAGTGATGCCCTCATTACAATTTAATTATATTATTAGAAAATGAATTCATAATTTTTTAACTATCCCTCATCATCTCTTATGTTAATCTATTATTTAGAAAAAATATGTTGAGATTTTACTCTATTCATTTAAGATTAGCAACTTCCAGCGGAAATTCTCGCTAAGCAGATTGTCGGATATTCAACGTATACAAAAAATTATTCAACATTCAGAAAAGGATATTGTTCAGAAATATTTAATTTCACAGATGTGTTGTCTGCATTACTAAATACAAATACATATATGTGACCTTGTCCCACAATAAAGTTTTGCACCTTCACCGAAAGCAAACTCGTGACCTCTTTGAGTAAATATAATAGAAAAAAAGTAGCATTATAATATTAATTTCGCAAAGTAACCATTGTTTCTTCAAGATATTTTTTTTAGTTTTGGTTTTTATTTTTTTTTAAAGGCTGGTCTTCAAGGAAAGTGAGAGTGGCGATCAAGAATTACAAAACTTGTCTCTTTTGATCATCTTCAATTATAAAAAAATTTTTTTTTTTTACCAATTATCACGAAACAAATCAGCTAGAGTTTTATTTATTATTACTAATAAATAATGAAATAGTTTAACTGTCCATAGTGTTGTAACAATTTAATTGAAAGTTGCTATAAAATGTAACAGAGAAACTGTTAAATAATTCTTTGGCTTACTTTAAACATGGCTTCCTCACTACAAACGCCAATAATTATGACTAGTGCATGAACCTGAAGCCATACCATTCGACATTCCAATCGCTGAAAGGTGAAGTCATAGGCGAGGAAAAAATAGAAATGTATATAAAAAAAAACAGTCTCAGTCTTTATAATGAATCTCATCATCTTTATACCTTTCTAAAACTGTTATAAATAGCACAACATTTTTGGAACTCAATTTCTATATACAGAAAATAAAATGAATTTTTCTTTCATAAAAGGATTTCATCGAACTTTGGATAAAATGTTTAGATAAACCAAATACGATCAAATATATATATACAATCAACCGGTTGCTAAGGATTTATATTATATTTGATATGGATAATGAAACTGCGAATAAAACATTTTTAGATGTGCGGTGAACGTGTAAGAAGATATTTAAGCGGTTTGTTGGAATTCAAGATTCTATTTTTGGATTGACTTGATTATTTACCTATAGCATATATGTTGAATGAAGGTAATTGATAAATTATAGATTTTTTTTTTTTAGACAAGTGTGTGCTCCAGATTTTTAAATAGAAAAAAAAGTGACAAAAAAGAATTCCAGTGCCTCGTGTGAAAAAATAAGTCATTCTCAAAATAAATATTATAAGAATAAAATTGTTTCAATTCTTTTAATAAAATCTGATTCATTCGTGTCGTCTTGTTTGAACGAAAATTCCAACTGCGAGGGAAAAAATAATAATAAGAGGACAATATATTGTGGGACAGAAATGGAGCGCAGTATTTGGATATGATGATGATGATGATGATGATGATAATAATGATGCTCCTCATTTGGAGTAGAAACTTTCAAGAGAAAATGAGTCACTATTGTATATGTCCTTATGGCTGATCTGGCACACATGACTGACGTCATATATGAACACATTTGAAATTTTAGGCGGAAGTGGCAAAAACCAAGAGAGAGAGAAAGAATCAAAAGAGAAAGGGAAGGACCCATCATGGAAAGGAAACCAGAATCAGTTCAGACAAGTTTTGAATGAGTCTCACGCATGTTCCGGTTAGCTTGCTTCTAAAATGAATGCAAATTTTGCGACACGTGTGCACCTACTCTTCATATGCACCCAAGTACATTTTACAATATTTATGTGACTTGTGGGCGTGTACATGTAAGTACAATAAAACTGTACACACTCATACATGTCAAAGAGAAAAAGCGAGAGTAGACAATTACTTCCAAAGTGGGATCTATACGAGTTCTATAACAAGGTTCGAATACCTAAAACCTGTCTTCAAGAGGCTAAATTTACATCGAAGGGTGACTAAACCTTCTCTCTTCTTTCATTATCAAGCTCGCGTGAATTCTCTCTGCAAATTAAGAAAACTGCCTGTTAATAAGGCAGTTTCATGGTTTTAACTCACACACAGGAATTTCTTTATAAATAAAATTAATTTGAAGAAAATTTCCCATTTTCCAATGACAATTTTTAACAACTTCTCAATTTTGATATCTTGAAAATTGTTCCATAAAAAATTACTAGTATTTGTTACTGGACTCCTACAAAAAAAATTAAGAATAATTAATTAAAATTTAATTACTTAAAGTATACGGAAAGTATCACAGGAAAGTGCTAAAAACTTTATCGCACCGTCCCCTCGGCTTTCCGTTTATTTATTAACAAATTACTCTTCGTTCTTAGAACAAAATCAACAAAATTTCTGTTAATTTTTCTTTTTTCTACAAACGATTTACCAAGCTACTTATTATTTTATTATTAATTAATAATAACACTTACGCTTCGCAGTATGGCTGTTTGTTGAAACCTTTGTATGTGCGCATATTGAGGGTCATCCCACATCCTTGACACTTGAAACATTGTTTATGCCAAGTCTGCAAAAAAAAGAAGAAGAAGAAAATCAATAATTCATATTTTCGCTTATCAATTAAAAAATTGACTATTTTAATTTAAAATTTAAAAAAAAAATATAAAAAATTCGAATTCCAGGAAATTAATTTTTTTTTTGCAATAGGAATTACTAAATAAAATATTTTGCAATAGCGAAAAGAAACATGAGTTTTATTTTTATTCAAGAGATAATTGTTTCTTTATGCAAATTTTGATAAGATTTATATTTATATATTGTGGGGAAAAATAACTGACTTATACACATTTTATCTAAACTGGATTCATCATCGGAAGCTAAGAATGACAAATCTCGCCGCAAAGATAATAAAAAAAAAGAAAACTATAATGAGTCAGTTTTTATTCACAAAAAAAAAATCTCTCAGATTAATAATTATCTCGTGATTATTTGACATTTATTATATATATATATATACGCGTTCACATAATCCTCACAATAGACTTACGACGACCGGAACTTCCATTGCGACATCTGCCAACAACTTTCGACTCGAAAGCAAAAAAAATTTACTCTCTAACAATATATATATAACATTAACGATAAGAAGAATTTGCAATTCTAAAAAAAAACATGTTCTTTTTCTCCGTAATTTCAAAATTAAATGATTTACGTAATTATCAAATGCTAATAAAAAAAAATTTAATTCTAAATTTTTTCAAGCATATAAAATTCGATCATGAGAGTTAGAAAATAATTCGTTGAGAACTTGTGGAATAAATAAAATCAGTTTTTGTTCGCAGTTTTCGTCATAAAGGAGATTGTATCGAATTTCTCAATTTTCACATCGTATTAAAGAATTCGTCCTTCAATTAATAATGAAGTTGGTAAAAACCTAATAATGTTCTCAATATTTCAAACTTTTGTGTCTAAAAAATTGGAATTTGTTAATCAAGAAATATTTTTGAAAAAAAATTTTTTCTTTTAAAATAGGAAAAATTGCAAACACGCATATGTGGAAAATCATTCGAATTATAAACACAATCTCGGGGTCATTTGGGCGAATGATAAATCATTGTTTGCCATTGAAAGTGAAAGTTCGTCCGGTTTTTACGAATCGTTCAGCAAAAAAAAAAGAAAAAAGGTAGGAGTCACCCTACAGAAGAACAATGGCAGTAATATCTCGGGTAACGATTACTAAATAGCGAGTATACCGGATACATACCAGAGATGCCGCATTCTATTTGAGAGAGAAGAATGATGCTTATCGAAGGAAAAATTTAATAATGGATCTTTATTTATTCACACTTTCGTAATATTATAGAGAAACAAATCAACCGGATTCCACTAGTGTCACATCAAGTCACTTAACAAAATGATTATCGTTTCCTCTTTCTCTTTATTTTGTGCACAGTTGGAAAATTTATAATCAGATCTTTTTCGATTAAAAAAAAAAAAAAATGAAGGTGGTGCCATTAAAAAAAAAAAAAAATGAAATAATAATTGAAGAGAGGTAAATTTTGAGAATAATCAGACAAGGAATGGCTCTTTCATTATGGGGTCAAAGTGATTACAATATCTCGCCAAGTAAAGAACATCAAGACGTCCTTCGTTTCTGAAATAAATGGGTGAATGCAAATTTACTTGGTATAGTTATATGTATTGTTTGTTCGAGACAACCGACTTATAAAAGAATTAACTTACATCAAAATACAACTTGTTCACGAGGCACGAAGTGCAAATAACAAGAGATGATGATCAAGATAATTATTTTTTTTTTTTTATTCACTATCATCGAAATAAAATACAAAAAAAAATTCAAATTTTAGAAAAGAATTGATTTCCAATTTTAGACAAAATATTTTCGTGATTTAAATTTGATAAATCTAATTCAAGTTAAATTTAAACTATTAACTATTTTAACGTTCAAATGGTCTCTAATTTAGATAAAATCAAATTAGAGATTTGAAAAAGAAATAACATTGTCACTTTGTATGACATTGAGAGGAGTGATTAGATTTAATATCTTTTTAATAACTAACCCGCAGGAATTTTTTTTTTTTTTGTTTTTCTAAAATGATAAGGGCCAATTTAGTGTAGCAATGACATTTGTAAAATTACGTTAGGCGAGAGAGGTCGAAGCCTCTTCGTCATTCGAGTCCGCTCTAATTGTCCTTTGTGCGTTTCAATTTTTGTCCCCGCCCTGCAACAAGTCTTGTAATATGAAACTTCTTGAGTTAATATCTCTACTCTTTTTTTCATCTCATACTCCTCCATCCTTTAGATTTTTAAAATATAACACCCAATCTCAATGCAATAATAAAATTTCTTTTTTTTTTCTACAAAAAATCCTTTAATTTTAAATTATAAATATTCAATTAAAAAATACAAATTTTTTTTATAAAAATAAACACTAATAGTTAGTATAGTAAATAAAAAAAATATATTGTAATAAAATTGAAATATTTCATATGTGAGAGTAGATTCGAAAAAATATTTGAGTTGTTAAATCAAATAGACTTATCTGATAATAATTGATAATTAGCTCCCAATTAAACTGATAATGGTAGCTCTTTTTTAATTCTAAGAGAATAAATAAAAAATGATTATTACGCATTTTCCTCACAACACGTAATATTTCATAATACTGAAAACTACAAGGTGTTTATCAATTTTTGTTATACGTTGAAAATTTACAAATAATAAATTCTTGTCAAGTTGAATCGAATTTTAAAGAAATGAACCAATTTTTTGAGAATATCAATTAAAGAATTTTTATAATTTGCACAATGTAAAAAATTCGTGAATTTTTTTTTTCCACATACCTCGTAAATATCAAAATTCAAATAAACAATATTATTTTAAATTCAACAAATTTTTACTTCGCTGCAAAAATTAAATTTAACTTTTATATCCTCTAATATGACAGTAAAATTTCAAGAAACATTCATGACATTTTAAAACTTCCATATTTCAACAGTGGCTAAAAATTGTTGGTGTAATATCAAGTGCCATCCATGATACGTCAAGAATCATCTCTTGTAATAATTTCCTAAAGATCAACAGCGCTGAATAAATGAATTGAATCACGTTTTATACCCCGGCAATATTAGAGTTTTAAATAATACAGAAAATGTATGTCAAATCATAAACACAATTTGCTAGGATGAGTGCAACGCACGTTCGACAATTCCTTTACAAGCACGTGTAACATCTTTTGGCTATAAATTGCATCTTACTCTCCGTATGCAAAGTAGCTCAGGAAGATTCAACCACACTTTATTCACGGATGTAGCAAGCAAAATGCTCCGTTAGTAAATCACCTCTCTCTCTCTTTCTCAAATGCTCTTATAACCTCTATAACCTAACTCTCGAAACAAATACTTTTTGACATAAGTTAACAAAAATCTCGCAAAACACTTTTATGTCTCTTGCAAAATAAAAAAAAAAACGTTGAAGCGGATACAACACTATCAAAATGGAACAGCAAAACAATAAAAAAAAAAAGTGACGATCGTTTCTTTTTTTTTTGTTGGTTAAGTTTTGCCGAGAATTGCTTTTGTTAATCTAAAGTACTTTAAATTTTAATGAAAAATTTATATCGAACACCTAATGTGAAAATGCACTTTTTTTTATCAAAATAGGGTTAAAAATCTCAGGATAAAACCATCTTTACGCACCTTGTCAAGGCATTTGAGCTCCTCGATCGGATAGACCGTTTTCTCACAACGGGCACACGTCTTGCTCATCTTGGCTTGAAATTTTTCAGTCTGTTTTACACGTGTACACAGACACTTGCACTTAAATACACATCTAATCACTGTATAAAAATTGCGGGGGTGGTGGAATTTTCACGAAAAACACAGTTTTGAAAAGGTGCAAAAAACACCAAGCCACGAGACAAATACCAAAGGAAAAGCCGAAGTTACCACAAGCGCCAGCACTGGACTACACTGCCCTCTCCTAACCTCCCCCTCCACCAACACAACAAAAATAAACTTCACAATATCGTCCCGCACTCTAGCGGTGTTAATTGCAACTAAATTTGAATCTGTTACTTGCTCCTTGGATATTTTCAAATTTATTACTCTAAATCGAGAATAAAAATGACGTATTACTAAAAGAAATTATTTATTATTAATTAAATTATGTAAAATATAATATTGATTTCAAATAAAGATATTACATTCATTTTTATTTGGAAGTTTAGTTTACCCCTGTTGAATGTTTTTTGGCTCATCGCGCTGTAGATATTGGGCGGGAATTTTAAATTTCTAACAAAAAAGAAATTTAATTTTAATTGATAAATACAATTTGTTTCTAAAGTATTATTTTTATTTTTTGTAAATTCTACATAAAAATGGATAATTTCAATTAAAATTAATTTAATAATAATAATAATAACAGAAACAAATATTAATTTTCTTTAGAGAATTTTTCGACTAAATATTTTTATCCTCTTTTAAAAATTGATAAATCACACTGAAATCTTTATCAGCAAAACCTTTCGATATAACTGCAAGATAAATTTGATGAGCTAAAGAGCCAAGTAAAATTGGCGTTTTACTTCTACTTGCAACATCCTGAGCTAATCCCAAATCCTTGACCATTAACGCTGATCCAAATCCTCCCTGTTTGCGAAAAAATATAAATATTTAATTAGAGATAATTAAAAAAAAAATTATATTTCATGTAAAAATAAATAATAATTATTATTATTTTATTAATTAAACTATAAATTACCTGGTAATTATTGCTACTTGGTACATTTGGAATGAGTCCTGGAACTGGATTGTAAACTTCAGAAGCCCAACATCTTCCTGAACTTGAATTAACGATTTCTGCTAATATTTTTGAATCCAATCCCAACCTGATTAATTGTTTTTGTATTAATTAGTAATAACAAATTGTAAAAATTAATTTAAATAATTAATAAAAAAAAAAAATTTTTTTTATCATGAAAATTATTTGAAAAGAAAATTGAATACTTTTGACCAAGATTGAAAGCTTCAGCTGTACCAATCATACTAATTGCTAAGAGCATATTGTTGCAAAGTTTAGCAGCTTGACCCATTCCAATTTTTTCACCGCAATGAACAATTCTCGATCCCATTGCTTCAAAAATGTGTTTTGCATCATCAAAATTATTTTTTGAACCACCAACCATAAAAGTTAAAGTTCCATTTTCAGCCGCATTTATTCCTATTAGAAAAACATTTTTAAAAAATTAAAACTTTATATTAATTAATTTACATTAATTATTATTTACCTCCAGAAACGGGTCCATCGATAAATCTCACATGTTTCTTTTCAGCTTCCTGAGCAACTGTTTCAGAAATAGATGGATCAATTGTACTGCTATCAATTAAAAGTGTATTCTTTTTTGCAGAACTGAAAATATATTTATTTCATTAATATTTTATTATTTTAATTAATTTTACCTAATTAAAATAATACCTTAAAATACTTTTTTCGCCAATGTAACAATCTAAAACATGTTTATTAGATGGTAACATTGTTATTATTACATCGGAATTTTGTGAAACTTCCGCAGCATTTTCTGCACTTGTTGCTCCTGATTCACATAATTTTTTAACAGCATTTTTATTAATATCAAAAATTGTCAATTTATGTCCCTGTAAAAGAAAAAAATATTAATCAATTAAAAAAATTATTTTCGAACATATAAAAAATATATTTTTATTTTACCTTTTTTAAAATATTCTTTGCCATTCTACTTCCCATTTGTCCTAATCCTACAAATCCAACATTTGAGAAATTTCGAGTTCCTAATTTAAACAGAATTATTAGAAAAATATATGTTTATAACAAAAAATAAAATGCAAATAATAATTTTTTATTTTCTTTAAATATATTTATAAATCAATAGGTGTTACGAGAGATAAAAATGCAGTATGAAAAAAAAAAATTTTATACCCACCTTTGGAATAATAGAAAAATCGTTGAAAAGTAAAAGAAAAAGCCATTATTGAAAATAATTTCTGCACTTTTCACATAAAGAAGAACAAAAAAAAAATCACAAAACACTCAAAGGCTCAAACACTATATCCACTAAATATTAAAATGCATGTCGACCCAGTGTCAATTAAATGCTAATTACACCCAAACGAATTCACTTACTCCTACACGATATAAAAATATTTTTAAGCGTCTCCGTCTGGAAGTTCCAAAACAGACTCGTTTAAGAATTACACTGTCGTCGCACTTTTTTTTCTCCTATTTGAAGGTACAACAAGCTTTAAATTCATCCCACTCTCTACTTAAAGAATTTCTTCACTGGGTCACTCACATCTGCATTTTATAAACTCTATATACATTCTATTATGTTTTTTATTCATTAAAAAATATACATAAAATTAAACTGATTTATTTAAAATTATTATTTTTAAATAAATTAAAATCTCAATTACAAATTCCACTTAGAAATTTAAATTTTAAAAAAAAGTATATATATATATATATATATATATATATCGTGCAAAATTAATGCAGTTATTTTTGAAAATAAAGGAGGTGTTAACAACACTTGTTTTAATGAAGAACTGTAGCAATAAAATGATGTCATTGATAAAAGAATAATCCTTATCTCTATCTGCAGAGCTACTTGATAATAATAAAATATTTCAAATGTAAATATAAATAAAATGAATTGACGTAAATACGAAATTTTGTAATTTTTCTGTTGAATCCAAAATAATGGAAAATATAAAAAAAAAAATATTTAATTTAAGAAAATAAAATATATTTCTAAAAAAAATTAAATGAATATAAAAATAGATGAAATTCAAAATATGAATGAATAAATTAAACTTTAAGTATAGAAAAAAAATGTCTAGTAAAAAGTGTTTTTAAATATTCGCAAGTAAATTTTTTTTTACGATATAAAAATTAATATATACATTTTCAGAAGCAAAATAATATTTATAATATAAAAGGTATAATAAAATAATTTTACTTAGAAATAAATTAATAAAATAATATTACAAAAAAATAAAATAAAAAAATTAAGAAAAAAACCGCGAGAAAATAAAAATAAAAAATTAATCGATGGTCTATTTTATTGTCGACTCATAAGATATATATGTTTATTTAAGGGAAATTGTCAATTAGCGTTGTAAAGTAACAAATTAGTGTCATACAAGTTAGATCTCATATCTTTATACTAATATATTTATAATTTGAAGACTAAAAAAAAATTCTCATTAATTAACGTCATCTTTGGTAGTTTTGTTGTTCAGCATTTTTTTTTTTTTTTTTTTATTGATTTCATAATGAAGCCAACGACAATTTTAATAAGTTATGTTACGTTATGTTATCATCCCTTGATATTTGCTTTCATGACCTATATCCCATTTAATGCATGCAAACGAATAATATACAAAGTTTCATTTCGCGATAGAATTTTCTTTAGTCGAGCTTCAATGCTCGCTGAATAAAAACGTTTCGAAAAATTAGTGAAAGTGTTTGTTTTTTAGAATAATATAATAAATTAAAAACAATAATAATTATAATTTTAAAATTAATAATAATTTCTTATCAATTAATAGTTCATTTAAAGATTGAAAAAATTGAAATGAATTGATTAAAAAAAAAAAAAAAACTGGAAATGATTATTCCATTGCTTTTACAATTTTTCATCTTATCGATAACGGCAGATCACAAGAATTTTTTTATTAAAACATACAAGAAACCTTGGATATCATTTGATAATTATGAAAAAATTATAAAATTGTCATTTCCCTATGCTCATTGTTGTAATATTTTTGTAGATGGTAATTAGAGACAAATGAAAATTATAATAAAAAAATTAAGAAAAAAAAATAATTTAAAAGGACAATTTGTTTTTCTTAAATTACAGGAACATCATATGGAATTAATGAATTATTTAATAATTTTATTGAAATTTACCCCTATGGTTATCTCGTGAAGAGAAGAATTTATGATTGTGATGGATATTTTTTATTAGCATCAGAAGAGTCGCGAATTATTTATGCGTTGCAAAGGTCAAATAAAATTTTTTCTTTCTAATGTGCACATTTTTCTAATGAAGATTTGATGACACTTTAGATAAAATACTATACTGATAATTATAAATTAATGATTTTTTCACTTTTTCAAATTTTTTTAAATTAATTTTTTCCTTATTTTTTTATAGATATTTTTTTCTTTTTATTACTCTACAATAATAATTTCATTCAAATAATAATAATAATAAAATAATAATAAAGAAACTGATTTTCTCATTTTAAGGGTACCATCACAAATATCGACAACGGAAATACTTATTATTTTGGACAATGGCTTAAAAGATAATTCGAAAATATTCAACATTTCATTATATCAAAATTCAAATGTTAATTTAGTTTCTCATTCGGGTTCTTGGACATTGTCGGAAAATTTTCTTGAGCCTCGAAAATTTCGTAAAATTAAAAAGTAGGTACTTTTGAAACCTTGATTACTGAGACGATTTTCATTTCTCAATAATACAAGTTCGAGTGTATTTTATTCTTTACAAAAAAAAAAAAAAAAAAATTCAATATAGATACGATGAAATGGTACATAAAAAAGGAGTTGTAAATTTAGAGGGACGACTACTTCAAGCAGCAGCTTTTTATAATCCTCCTCTTTGTTATTTAAATACATCAATCAATGAGACAATAAACGGCGTTGAAGCTGAAATTTTTTTAGCTGAGAATGGTAAAATAAATATTTTTTATAAAATATTAAAATTAGTCACGAACACATTTTTCCAGGATGAAAAATTATTGAAAAAAAATATATATATTTACAGATTTTGAAGTGGATGGCGTGGAAATGCGAATATTCGAGCTTATTGCAAAAAGATTAAATTTTCGCTGGTCCATTAGAAAACCTTCAGGTGGTTATAGATATGGACGAAAAATAAATGACACAGCATGGAAGGGTGGTATGATAGGGCAAATATTTCGAAAAGAGGTAAATTTTTGTTCATTGTGAAAAATATAATTTAAATTTTTTTTTAATTTTTATTAATTAATGATTATTTAAAAATAAAAATTCTAAATTGTTCAAAATAGATCGATATTGCATTTAGTGGAATATGGCTAAAATATGATCATTATTCATTTTCAAATTTATCCGAGCCATGGTACGAACTTGCGGTTGATTTTCTGGTTCCACGACCAAAACCCTATAGCAGATTCTGGGCAATTATTCGTCCATTCACGGCTGAAGTTTGGACACTAATAATTATAATCGTTATAATTCAAACTGGAAGTACAATCATTAAAGCTCAAATAAATTCGAACATTCCACAACGTAAGTTTATATATAATCGTATAAGAAACTAATAAAAAAATTTTAATTTATAATAAAATTAATTTTATTGAAACTAATTACATTCACTTTTTTTTTCTAGATTACCGAAATGTTGTTGTAACAATAACAGAAGTAATGGGAAATTTAGTAGGCACGGGAATATCAGAAACAATTCCCGAATTAAGATTACAAATGTTTATTTGTCAAATTGCAGGATTTTTTCTTGTCACAGCTTATAGTACGATTCTTGCTGCCAGTTTATCGAATCCCGAATATGAAAAAAGGTGCAATATTATATATAAAATATAATATTTAAAAAATATATAAATTTAAATAAAAAATTTTTTCTTTTTTTTTTAGAATTGACACTGCTGAACAATTTGTTGAGGCTAATCTCACATGGGGAAGAGAAGGACCAATACCAATTTTTAGCGATTATTTTGATTTAAACGTAAGTTTCTTATATAATTAAAATTTTTATTTTAAATAACCATTAATAAAATAAAAAGAAATAAATTATTAATTAATTTTTCATTATATAATCAAAAATTTCAACAAATATAAATTCTATTTTAGGATAAATATTTTTCACAATTTCCAAATAGATTTGATCATGAAGAAGGAAGTGCTGTTAGGCATAAAAAAATTCTTCAAGGTAATTATGCAATTGTTGGAAGATTTGTGGGATCGCTTTTCTTTCCTGAGAATAATGTCACAAATGCCGATTTAAAGGCAAGTATAAATTTTTTGAATTCAAAATTTTTTATATAAAATTTATCAAAAAAAAAAATTTTAATAAATAGAAATAAAATTTTTAAATAAATTTCATATTAACTTTAGAATTACAGGCTAATGAAGGAAAGTGCAGGAAGATTTTATTCTTCTTTTGCCGTTCAACCATGGCTTCTAGAACCAGTTAATATGGTAATTTACATTGTAAATTTTAAAAAAATATTTTCGTAAAATATTTTCGTAAAAAAAAATTAATTTTATTAAAATATAATAATCTATTTTTTCGAAAAAAAAATTAGGTCATGCTATGGTTAAGAGAAGGTGGCATCACTCTTTATCATTTAAAAGATGTAATTCGTCGACGAGCAGCTCATAGTCTTCACGAAGTTTTAATAGAATACGATTATGTTGATGAAGGGGTGGCTATCATTTTAAATCTGACACCCCTTGGAGGAGCATTTTCACTTTTAATTGTCGGCTTTTTGCTGTCAACTTTCGTTTTTTACTTGGAATTACGTTCAGTACGCGGATCAAGATCAATTTTCACTGTTCTAAGAGATATCAATGAAAAAAGATCTCGTTAAAAGAAGAAATTTAAAAAAAAAAAATAAAAATTTTTTTTATTGAATTTCAATAAAATTGACTTTGAAAATTTGCAACTACGATGTTTCGTTATTAACTTAAACTTTATAATTATTAAGACGAAAAAACAAATAGTAAATTAAATCATAATTATCATTTTAAATTTCATAAATTCTATAATTAATTAATTAAATATTAATTGTAAATACAAAAATAACTGAAGTAAACAATGAAAAATGAATTTAAGAAAATAAAACAAATTATTTGTAAATCTTTAAATAAAAATAAATACATTTCTTCTAAAAATCAATGGGAAATTTTTGTTATTGTATACAATTTAAAAAAAAAATTATTCTCAAGCTAGATAATAATAGAAGATAAAACCGCAAATTACTATTCGTGTTATATATAAGTGAAATAAAAGTAGATCCTACAGTAGTACTAGATGATACTTTACACAGAATGGTCGACTATAAGTTTAATTAGAAAAGTGTAAAATTTTAAATTTTCATGATGATAAATCATTATTTACTGTGAATGATTTAAAATTAATTAATTTTTGTGTATAAAAACACAATTGAATTTTCCAACAATTCAATGGAATATAAAATAAAAGAAAAAGATGCTCTATTTTCTACCAGTGAAAAATCACATTTAAAACAGTGAATATTAAAATTCATTGTTGTGACCAATTTTCTATGTATTAGTATTTATTTTGATGTTAATTTTTTAATTTTAAAGTGAAAGAGTAAGTGTTTTTTTTTAATTAAATAAATTATTTTCTTAATTTGTCATTTCTAGTTGAAATCTTAAAAAATTACAATGCCATCGAGTATAAATCAAGGTAAAATTGCTAATTAATTATTTAAGAATTCATAGTGGGTGATTTTTTAAAAAGTAGTCACTTTAACAAAAGTTACCTTTTTTTTAAAAAATCAGTCATTTATTATTTATATTAAGTCAAAAGTTAAAATGAAAGGGCCTAACCTTTCTGTTATACGTAAATAAGGTCAGAAAAATTTTAAAAACAAACAAATGTTTCTTTTGCTTTTGAGAAATCACTTTACGAAGTTTATAAATATTTTGGAAATTATTTTTGAAATTAAATGGAAAATTAAATGATTTTAGAACAGGCATTAACGGTTGATGAACATTTTAAACAATTACTGGAGGATGACACTTCCTTAGATCTTAATCAACGGAAAGTGACATACAATGATTTGCCTAATTGGTTCGATGCCGATTTGTTTAAAAAGTAAGAAAATTGAAAATATAAAAAAATTTATGGAAAATAATTTTTTTTAAATAAATGTATAATTTTAGAGCTCAAGAAAATTATAAAACTAATTTTTTTGGATATACATATATGGCTTTAATGGGATTAATAGACGTCTTATCAATACCATCTATCTTAAAGGTTCATTATCAATATTTTCTCTGAGATAATTTTTAATAAATTAATTAATTTTTAATAAAATTAATATTGTTTAGTGAATTTTTTTTTTCATTTTCAAGGTGTTAGTATTTACTAAACAGAGTGGAACTCCATGTGATGCATTTAGAAGATATGCAATGACTATTCTACACACTCATTATATTTATACTTCAGACATCAGTGATCCAAAATCAAAGTAATTGATATTTCAATTTTTCTAATAATCTATGATTAAAATTCAAATGTTCATGACAATGTTGTAAAAATCCAACAAAAAATTTACTTGTTTAAAAAATATATAACAAAAATTAAAAATTGAATTTCTTCTAGGTTTTTCAAATCTCTTAGTACAATTCGATGGAAACATTGTAGAGCCAGTAAATTGTGTAAAGACTCAAATTTTGATGAAATAAAAAATAGAGATTTAGCTTTAACACAATTTGGATTTTTTGGTTACGGTATATTGAAATCAAAAGAATTTGGGCTTAGTGATGATTCCAATGCTCACGAAGCATTAATTCATTTTTGGAGAGTTATTGGACATTTAATTGGCATTCCTGACAGGTAAATTTGTGACAGTAAATTTACTTTTGTAAATTAATAATTTAAAATTAATGAAAAAAAAAATTATTTTAAAATTATATTTTCTTTCGAATTATTAGTATGTATATTAGAAAAAAAAATTTATATTTAGTCTATGCAAGATGGATAAATGACATAAAGAAAATTTATGCTATTTTTTTTTCTTAAAAAAAACGACGTTTCGACCTCGTAACTTTGTTTTTCCTGATCAGTTTTAAATTTAACCTTGATGATTGAATTTTACAAATAGCTTTTTTAAGAATAATAAAAAAATTAAATAAATTTTGTATTAATTCGTCTATTTTCTGTGGATGTAATATAATTTTTTTTTTAATAATATAGAAATACACTGAAACCTGAATTATTAGAACCTGTCGGTTCGAAATTTGAGGTTTTAGTTAATAATAATAATAATTAATAATATTAGTAATAATAGACGATAATAATAGTACTAACAATAATCTAATAATAATATTGTAAAATAATTACGAATATTAAAACTTGTAAAAATTAATAATATCACTAAATAAATTTTTTTATATGTAGGTTAAATATTTGTCGAAAAAATGCCACGGAAACAATAGAACTTGGTAGAAAAATAATGAATGAAGTCATGACGACAAATGTTAAAGAAAATCATTCATATTTTCGTGAAATGACAATTATTATGTTATCTGGAGTTTCATGTATAAACGTTTTACTTGATAATGAAGCAATATTATATTTTTTCTATAAATTGCACAATCTTGAATGTAAGTATAAATTATCTTAGCTATATATTAAAGTAATGTCACTATTCATCAATTGTTGTTTTGAAAATAATTTGTTTCATTATTTCAGATGACAAAAAATTGAGCCTCTATAGTTGGTTAAATTTAAAATATCATAACATTGTGTTCATTACTTTTAGTAAGTGATTTGATTTGATCATATATTGTTATTTGATTATCTATATCTTTTTTTAGTTTAAAAAAAAATTATTTTCGTTATCTTAACATTCATTTTTTTTATAAATTAAAATGTCTTTCTAATTTTAAGATTTACCAATTATTGGCGTTTTTGTGAAATCGATCTACAATATTGTGATGCTTATAATCTTCTGGATTCTAAACCGATATCCCTTAATTGCTTGGTATAGATTTGGAAAAATTAAATCTCGATTTCAACTTCATCCACATATTCAACTACACTAAACAAAAATGTAAAATTTAATTTTCACATTTTCTTTTTATTTATTTAATTAATATAAATGGGTTTAGAATTATCCTTTAATTATATACTATATATTATATGGAGAAAAAATATTTTATAGAAATGACAACAATGCGTACCTGATCTACATATATTTATATAAACAAATATATTGTTATACGTGTTTTTTATTTTAGAATAGAATTTTTTGTTATTATCATGATTAGAAATTTAATTGTATGGTAAATATATATGTATAGCAATCTTTTTATTATTACATATTATTATTATCATTATTACTGTTATTAAAATGATTTATTAATATCATTATTATAGTAATTATATTATTATTTTTATTTCTATTATAATTATTATTATTAACATTTAAATATGTATTTAATTAAAGATATGTAAATGTATATAAATAATTTCAATTGGAAATGGTTCTGATCCCGACTAACTTGTTTCGAAGTTGGTACAAAAATTCTTTGTCAGATCGAGCCATCTGCTCAAATTGAAAATAAAATATTTATATACACCATTCACTTTCTTTAATAAATAAATAAACTTTAATATAAATATTGGCGTGATTAATAAAAAACGTTTTTTATCATGCATAATTAATGATATCGCTAATTCTTCTCCCTAATCGCTAAAAATAATTTACATGTGTAGTTAAATATAATATAAAAAACTTTTAAGTGTTATAATTAGACTTGGTTCATTAATATTAAAATTAGTTATCAAAATGATAAATTCAAAAGAAAAAGAAATTATACTATTGTCTAAAATAAAAAATTTTAATTGTTAACTTAAAGAAAAATTTGCTATTGTAAAATTTCTTTTTTTTTAATATTTATAATTTTTGTAATAAATAAATAAAAAGTTAATTTATAATTTTATATAAAAATAAATAATTAAAAAAAATTAGTTTCACGTTTATAAGAATGTAAAAATATAATATCCTTTTGTCAATAACAAATTTTATATTAAAATTGTATAATGTTTGTTTAATATTTATTAAAAATAAAAAAAAAACCAAGTTTGCGTGCAAAAGAATATCTTTTTTTTCTTTTGCACATTTTCGCATATTTTTGCCATATATGTCCCGGTTGAGTGACAATTTCTCAAAAAGGATGCTCCCTAAATGTAAGCGGGTTCGTTATACGAAATCGACAACGTTTTTTGCAATACGATCGAAAATGTTTGTGAGTCGGTTTCAGACTGTGGGTAGGAATTTTTGTTGGCTTGCGTTCATTTCTACTGGCAATCTTATTCGATTCAAGTTGCTTACAAGTTTGCGTGCGAAGAATCATTTTATACCTTTAGATATAGGTATACATATCACGACTTTTTTTTTAAACATATATATATATATATGTATACGTTAAATGTTTCTATGTAGTTTTTTGATACTTCTCACATGTTTAAAATTTATATGTATATACAGTACTCACACAAATAAATACATTCAGCAGCTACTGTCCTTCCTTCGTTCATCTTTCATTTCGATTTTCCATATATACAATATCCTCTCTCATCCAAATAGTAATTAAGCTCCACTGCCAAATTTCTCCATGCGTACACCTAAAAAAAAAATCTAATTAGTTTCGATACTTCTTTTTTTATTTACTTAAAAATAAAATTATTCGGAAAAAAATTGTTCCGTTCAAAGAAATGGTTTTTTAAAATAAAAACTATAAAATAAATAAACAAGAATATAAAATGATCTTTTAATAAAAAAAAAAAAATTTGAATTTCTCGAGTGGAGACCAGGACAATTGTCAAAAAAATTATTATTATTAACATTGTAGCAAATAATTGTGGAAAAAAAAATGCATTCTGAGAGTGTGAGAACCGCTTCTGCGGATCCGCCCTTGAGGAATGAGCGAAGGAACGAGTGAGCAAAAGCAAAACTTGTCGGTGAACAGAGGACAGGATCTTGAGGGAATATATAGGATGAGAGGTTCGTTGCCTGCAGGGCGGAAGGGAGGAAAAGGGTGGCAGGAAAGAAAAAAATGTACGTCGCAAAGGATACGATACGCGCGATCGTACGCAATGTCCGTATAGATATATATATGTATACCCAAGCCCATGGTTCTTATATGCGGGTTCGACGAACGATTCTTGGGCGTCAATCCCAGCTAACGAACATTCTCCAAGTTATATACCATCTCATACTCGGAAATCGACTTTTATTCATTCGCTGTTCATATTCATATTGGAATTTTTCCACATTAGACGATACTTTTATATTTAAAAAAAGAATTTTCCTCCACAACTCCAATATTAACTTCCTTTACAAAAAAAATCTCCTTGACATAAAAACTATCTCGTGATGTACCATCAATATATCTTTCCAAAAAGTTTCCTCAATATTAGTAACTAGTCAGCATAAAAGATTTGTTGAAAAAACATTTTTTGTTTATTCAAGTAATGTCGATTTCAGGAAATAGAAAATTCTTTTTTTTTTTTTTTGTTAACACATTTATGTAAAAATATGTTCAAAAATATCGCATTTATTTCATATTAATTAGGATGAAAAATATTTGAGATGACTCTGAAATGGTTCATTGCTTCCCTCGCTGTCTCTCTCATTTTACCTCTTCGTTCCTCCATATCGGATTCTTTTTATACTTGTTTCTTTCTTTTTTTTTTAATATTATTTTTTGTCCTTCGCGCATCGAACTGCACACAACTCAGCTTCATTCGGTTCGAAACTTATATATATATGTATAGATATAGATATAGGGTTGACTCCATTCTCTAGATGGAAAACGTCCACCAATGCACTGGAGCGGTAAACTTATAACGAACGTGCGATACATTGCGATCGTTCGAATTATATCTGTCGAGCGTCCTCGAGGACGCAGGACGCATCTCGTTCGTCTGGTGTTCACAAAAAAGCGTATATAGTCATCCAGTTTGTATCATCTATCTATATATAAAATATTCTACATGTCTATATATATATATATTTACCACAATAGAAATCTTTATAAAAATAAATCTATTACATTCAGAAATTTTCTTTTTTTATTCACCGAAATTTTCATTAGTTAAAGAATTTTATCGTTAATACTGTAAACTGATTCACCTTTTGATATAATTCTTATTTTATTATCCCATATTTAATTAATAATTAATTAATGCAAAAAACAATTATAATATTAATTACAAAATATTTAATATAAACTAATTTATATGATTGTATTATTTTCTATTACATTAATAAACATAATTTTCAATTGAAAAAAGATGTTTTAAAATTTTAAATGAATACATATGCGTAAATTTTGCGGCAAATCGTATAAAACAGGAACATTTATATAAAATAGGATTTAAAGTTTATTTCCTAAACTTATAATTGTTTTTAAAGAAAACTTGTCCTCGTTTTTTTTTTTCAAAGAACAATGTCTTTGTTATCTACGCCACTGAAGTTGGAAATAAAACTATAGATTTATATAGACGGTTCCGCCTTGTATGTTGCGCATAGATCTGCTCATGTTGGCTTGCATATATATAAAAAGTCCGCATTTCCCGATAAAAGTTACTTTGAACAAGATCTTGAAAAAAAAAAATTAAGTATTGAATTGGAAAAAAAAGTTATAATTTACATTTCAAGCGCGTAAATTTCACTTTGAAATTATATAAAATTAATTTCAGAGAAAGAAAACAGATTTTTTCATAGTAAGCAATAATTAAAATATATACTTTTTTAAATAAAAAAGTTAAACAAATAGAAGAATATAAAATTATACAATTTAAAATAATTTTATTATTATTGTAATTTTCATTATAAAAAATAAAGTATTTATATAAAAAAAATTGTTGCAATTTCATTCTTGGATGAAAGCATTTAAAATAATTAAACATGAATTATAATGAAATCTCTATCAGGAGTGTTTTTAATGTTTACACTCGTTATCGTTTTTTAACCTCGCTTTTAAAAGACGAAATTAAAGTTTTCAATATATTTATATAACTATACATATACAATTATCCATGATAAATGATAAAAAAAAATACTTTTTCGCAAATTACCCATAAAAAAAGAAAATTTCTGATGTATAATAAAAATTTGTTTACATATACGAAATAGAGTGATTTATGAAGTAAAATATCAATATATCGTTTATATTAAAAAAGACTAATACAAATTAATTAAAACTTTAATAATCCTCAATAATTTTATTTAATTAATTAACTAATATTAAAATCAATTATCTAAAAAGAATTTTTTGTTAGATTAACTGAAAAAATTATAGGTTAGGATTATGAACCAACAAACTTTCCGCGTTAGTACAATTTTTAACATTAAATAAATGTTACCATTGCTAAATAAAGTTCATTATTACAATAATGTATAAACAAAATTATTACCTTTGCGTTGTTTATCATAAAAATCAAATATTTTTCATTTTGTGAGAATAATTTGTTTTGATTTGTAACTATGTTTACTGCAGGTACTTTTACTCATCCACAAAGACAATTTTATCTTCATATTAATTTTAATTCTCATTTATCAATACATTTTAATTATTTTAAAATTCATTTTTTATATTGTCACTCATTTATAATTAATAAAATTAAATTAAACATCAAATAAATAACGTAAACAAATATTTGTGTCAAACATAACGTTTCTTTGATCACTATAGCGCCTCTATTGGTAAATTTTGGAACTATGTGAATCTTATTTTATTTATTTAATAACCGATTTAATGATTAATTATTTTATTTATTTAATAATTAATTAAATAATATTGCAATTAATTAATAAGGATAATTAATTATTAATGTCAAACTTTTTTTTTCTTTAAAATGTAATAGTAAAAAAGATTAAATTCAAATTCGCAATTTGCAATAATCGATAATCGATTTATCACTGTATTATTGGCAACACTGATATGCTGCGAACTTCATTCAGTAGCGAGTGGCCGTTGAACTCGGGTGAAATGTGTAACCGAAATTTGAATGATTAACGTAATAAAAGTGCATTAAAAGTGTATAATTATTTGTGTTTTAGTGATAATTTACTTTTTATCGACTTCATAATCGCGAAAATATAATTAAAACAAGTAGATAATTGTTAGTTACCGGAATATATTATTCTAAAAATGGTAAATTTACTCTAACAGTGCTCCGACCGTGTATTCAAATATTTGTGTCTCATTTAATGATTTTTATTATAAGAGTATTTAGTCAAAGCTATTTTACAAGTCGAGAAAAACGAAGTCAATCCGCAAGGTCGAGAAAAGAATTAAAATGCAAAGACACCCGTTATAGGGGTTAAGATGGGGACAGTTGGTCCATTTGTGTGAGTATCCTGTAAAAAGCATACATACATACACACATACAACGCTAGTATTTCTAAACATGTATACAAATACATACAGTTTTCATTTTTTTGCTTGTGTGAGTTGCGTTTGGTTGTTATTAGTTGACGATTGTGCCACCACGTTGTATGTTCGCGGCGCCACTGGCTCATTCCCCCATCGGTGCTCGAAGTGCACTGACGTTAATGCGTCATTCGGGGAAGTTTCGCGTGAAAAAACGTAAATTTTCTCGACGATTAAACAATTTATTAAGTCGGTCGGTGTGAGACAATTAGTGCATTTGAATAGTGATCAGTGTGTTTCGTATTTGTGATCGAATTGAACGAAAACTTATTGGAACGCCAACGACACAGCCTACGGAGCGCGTCCCTGCCACCATTCTGAGTTCCTATACATATATTCGTGAATTGGACGAGGGTGCGGAACATCTCAGAAAAAAGAGAAATCTGGGAAATTATTACCTTTTCTTGAATCAGGAGATGTCATAACGCAAGGTAAAGCTAAAATACATTTTTAGGTTATGTTACTTAAAGTTTTTATCCATAATAACAATTCTAACGGTTCATGAATTCTTTAAACTTTAAATACATCCCCCCCCCCCTTTAAATAGTGATTTTTTTTTGTTTATCATTGTTATTTCTGCTATTGTAATTATTATTTACGTTTAATTTTCTAAATTTGATAGTTTCTTGACATATGATGTAATGAATACATTTATGTTCTTATTTTAAATGTATTTTGTAAAATACTTTTTATTTTTATCATTCGTAGTTTATTTCGACAATTGAATCGTTAGGGATTGTCATTTGTTAATAATCAGATTAAAAGAGGCTTGTGTAATTCAATAATTTAGTTAGGGGGCTTTAACTGAGGAAAGAATGTTTTTAAAAAACAACTCATCAGTTTTTCGTGTTCGACCTTGACAATTTCATTAATTTTTTTACTTCTTATTAATTATTGTTTTTTTTTTTTTTTTTTTTTTTTTTAATATTGTTAGATATCAATTTTCTTTATCGAAATTTTCACATAATTTAATATTTCTGGAAGAATCTATCATAGTCATTAAAATGAAGTTAAATTTACAATTAGTCGTAATGAAAATAAAACGTTTTAAAAATAAAAGTATCGTGTCTATAGTAATAAATTGTATAGAAAATCTTGTCAAATAATTGATATAAAAAATAATATCAAAAATTGATTAATGAAAAGAAAACTGTTTATTGATTTGAAATTAAAATGTGTTGAGCAAAAAATATTGTCTAGGTCAAGATTTTTTTTTCAACAGGAGCGTAGGAATGAATTTTTCACCCCTGGGGATTATTTTATATGTATATTTTTTTTCGATTATGTTTTTTCTTTAAATTTTATTCCAAATTTTTTTGTGGATAATTTTGTGCTTTGAATGAAGGAGGGATGTACGTTGCTTGGCAAAGCTGTTTGCTGGATACATTTACAGACCCGTTTCGTGCGTTCGTACATAATCGGAAGACCGCAGTCTCTATCGCCCGTTCTCGGTTCCCAGAGCTGCTGCTGAGAGAGATAGAGAGAGAAAGAGAGATAGAGAGTGGTTTATATATTTCCGTCTTTCGACGTCGTCGACAACGACGACAGTTGGACTTATTGCAGAATAGGCTTTGAGATCGATGAAGCGTTAATGGGGAAAAATTATTTTTGATTTAATGAAAAAATGTTTGTTGAATTACTAAAATATATATATATATTTACAATAAGTATAAACGTCATTCAACATTTTTCGTTTAAACCGTTAACAGAACTAAATCGTTCCACCTCGTGAATCATTTGGTCCAATGCGATATTACGATGAATTGTAACTTCAAGGAGAAACACGACATAAAACATAAAATGGATGTTGTTTGCCGGTCGATTATAACACTACCTTGCAGCGAGAAAGAAAAGTATTGTATTGTAATGAAAAAAAAGAGAGTTACTTCCATATTGGTTTTACTTAACAGCTTGTCTAACAGAAATATTTATTATCTTTCTTTTAAAATATATTTCTTTGATTATTTTTCTTTTTTGATTAATTACTATTTAATCAATATTCGCTTTTTATTTTGTTGCTTCTGAAAAAAAATCTCAAATTTCTCCATCTCTTTTTTTTGTATTATATATACAACTCATCCTATATCACTTATTCGACTATATACTTTGTCAGAATTCGATCGATGAAGCTCGTACTTCGTATCATTTTGTTATCTTTCTCCGCCAAAAGGGAAAAATTGAAAAAAAAAAAAAAAAAAAAACCGCATCGATAGTTTCATTATAAAAGTACAGACAATTTAATTTCTCGTTTTTTTTTCGATATTATTTCTCACTAATTACATTTATTTTTGTGATTCTATTTTATTGTCTTTATTTCATTATTTTTTTTTAAGTAATTAAAAAAAAGACCTAATAGAAATTAGTCCTTTTCGTTTATTTCTATATATATAAAATTCTGTTTTCTTTTTCTTTGAATGCGTCTTGTGTTGAATTGAGGATGAACGTTTTTTTTTTTAATGTGAAATTTTTGTGTATGGAAAAAAAGTATAAGCAGAAAAAAGAGCTTTAATGACGTTTGTTGCAATTATTATTACGGCCCACTGGTTGTAATAGTGTCGACTTGGTTACAACAATAATTGTTGAGATTACGACTCGCTAGGCACTCTTGAAACATATAACTGCGCTAGTGAAAAAGAAGTTGTACGTGAACTACATACACACTATGTATTGTATATGTATTACATGTATATGTACGATTGTGCCTGCGCTGCATAATTGATCGCGCGTTCCCATTGTTGTTGGTAGCATCGTCTTCGTTTGCTTTTCCTCTTCCAATAACCCTATTATATATTAGCCTATATATATATATATATATATATTCGCCTTAAAAAAATTTATTTATTGTTTCGATTTGTCCAAAAAAGAGTTTTTTTTTTGTAATTTTTTTATTTTTTTAAAATAATAAAAAACAGTTATATAATCGTAGGTAATTGATTCATTGCTCTCTTTGAAAAGAGCTTAAAACCGTGCTCCATAATTTTTTTTTCCTCCCGTTTTTAATTGCCCTCAAACTTTGTAATTAATTAAATCAATTTTTATCGATAATTTGATATACATATATTTTGACAAATATGAAAAATTGAAACTAATGAAATTTTTCCTTGTAGGAAAAAAAAAATTCCGCATTGTGACAAAAGAGTACTAGAGAGAAAGGAAGAGATATTGTAATTTATTCCAAAAGTTTTCAAAGGCAATTTCCTTTTTTTTTCCCCTTTTTGCGGATATATTGAGGTACATTTCACTGTTGTGCAATTTTCTTGATAATAGGTAATCAATAATAGGTTACTATGGTTGTTGTGTCTTGGAAAAGAAAAAAAAAAAAAAAAATGGAAAAAATTCCAAGTTTTCGTATTGAAACCTTGTGCGGCGTCGTCGTTGTCGCATCAGGGACGCGAAAAAGGACTCGGGGGAGGACGAAACTGTTCCCGAAATAATCGTGCGTATCGATCCTTCTTTTGTATATATGCCCTATGTGCATGCTCACGTATATTTGTCACCAACAGGGCGCAGATAGCGACAAGGGGTGGACTCTCTGTGAGCAGTGGGGTATAAGAGGGGGGGGGGGGAAGGGGGAGGGAATGCAGAACTTAATTCCCGACATAACGTTGACTGTTTGGCTCACGTTATTTCATTCTCCAATTAGATCCTAGCGAGACAGAAAGAGAGAGAGAGAGAGAGAGAGAGAGAGAGAGAGAGAGAGAGAGAGAGAAAAGCATCTTCTATACATCGTTCATTGTACTGCATTTCCAATTACTCTCAACGTAACCTTATTCGCACGTGATTTCCGCGAGAATTTATAGGGTTTCCACAAAAAAAAAAAAAAACTAAAAATTACGAGAATCAATATAAAAGTTTCCAATTACCCTTTTTTATGTTAATAAAAAATAATAGACTTTTTGATAAAAAAAAATGTTTCCTTTTTTTTTATTAAATTTTTTTTCTACTGTTTTAAAGAAAAACAGAAGAAAAGGTTCTTTTTTTAGTTTTTAGATATTGTATTTGCCATAATATTATTCTCTCTCGTTTGCTGTCTATTAAAAGGCATTAATCGTAAAATATTCCTTTGGAAGTACCAACGAGAAGGGCTCTGGTTTGAAACCTCTAGAAACAGTTATTTGATCTCCCTTTTTTTTTTTACTTCCTTTCTTTACATCACTATGCTCTTTCGAAACCTTATTTCAAATTATAATGCGCATTTTAAAACGTGTTATTATTTTTTTTAAAAAAAAAGAAGAACGTTTTAAATTTGGAAAATTTTTTTTAATAAAGTGCGAGAGAGATAAAAAATTATTGAAGTTGAAATTTTTGAATGAACGATACGTGAAAAATTAAACAAAAGAATACCAAGCAAACGAATATATAAAGCGCATTAAAGAAAATAATACTTCCGGTAAAAGGTGTATATAACATTTTGATTTAATATTAATGCGCAAGAAAAAAAAAGTCAACCAAAAAATAGTTATTAAAATAGAAGTTTTTATAATAATTCTGAATTTATAAATTTGAATTGTATTTGGTTAAAAGCAAAAACTAAAAGAGTATGTATTTTAATACTTTGCTTGAGGGACAAATGCGATCCTTTATTAATGTAAATTGTATTATGAGAGTTTGGAAATGCAGAATATTCGGTAGATTAATAAGCTTTTACGCGACAATATGAAATATTAACAATTCAATAATTTACTGACTATATAATATATATCACTGATATAATACATATATGAAGTTCATATGTAATAATTTTCAAACAAAAATTTTAAATAAAGTAATTAAAGAAGAACTCTTAATTATTATAAATTGATAAAAAATTAGTCAATTACAGTTTTTTTTTATACTGAAAAGAGGAAATAAATAATTTTTTTTATATTAAAATAAGCGCAATATCGTAAATTTTTAGGAAAGATAATTTACTCTCTGATTAACTAATAAACAAACACTTTTGCATAATTTTAATGAGCATTTAATTGCATGTTATATATATAGAGTTCGTGATATACAAGGATGTATACAATATATTTAAAATTTAATTGCTCAGTTGTTGAACTGACTTAATATAATTAGCCATTAATAAAGAAAGCGACCGTTTTCCTTTTTTTTTATTCTACATGGCGTTAATTATTTTTTTCTCTTTGATAACAGAAAAAAAATATTGGCTAACCTTCGTTGCAATTTTATTCATTCAAAAGCAAACGCGCAACTGAAACTTTTTTTTCTTTACTATATATTCTCTCTCTCTCTCTCTTTCTCTCTGCGCGTTTCTACCCTCTCTCGCGATGAAATTCTGTTTCGCATGGAAAAACCGTGTTGCAGAAAATATATTTGAGGGAATATTGTAAAAATGTAAACTCTATTCCTCAACAATTTGTCAGCATGAATACCCTAGAAAAATGTTTGTGTATATTACAAAGTCAGTTGCTTTTTGATATTTTTT